TCTCTCTCTCTCTGCGTGTCTCTCTCTCTGTCTCGCTCCCTCTCTCTCTGTCTCTCTTTCTCTCTCTCACGCTCTCTCTCGGTGTCTCTCTCTCTCCCTCTCTCTGTCTCGCTCCCTCTATCTGTCTCTCTCTCTCACACTCTCTCTGTCTCTCTCTCTGTGTCTCGCTCCCTCTATCTCTGTCTCTCTCTGTCTCGCTCCCTCTCTCTCTGTCTTGCTCCCCCCCTCTCTCTCTCATGCTCTCTCTGTCTCACTCCCCCTCTCTCTCTGTCTCTCTCTCATGCTCTCTCTGTCTCGCTCCCCCTCTCTCTCTGTCTCTCTCTGTCTCGCTCTCTCTCTCTCTCTCTCTGTCTCTCTCTCATGCTCTCTCTGTCTCGCTCCCCCCCTCTCTCTCTGTCTCGCTCCCCCCTCTCTCTCTCTCTCATGCTCTCTCTGTCTCGCTCTCTGTCTCTCCACACTGAGAAAGTATTTCCAGGATTTAATCACATTCACGTTTACCATAGGAAAAAAACTTTATTAACCAGTTTTTTAGAAGAGCGTTTCTGGTTCAAAAGTACTGAATTTATTTATTGGTACTTATAAGTACTTGTATAGCACCATCAATTTACACTTATCTATCTCTAATATATATTGCACATTCACATCAGTCTCTGCCTCCAATGAGCATACAATCTGAGGTCCCTATTTCCAATTCATACATATCCTCAGGCCAATTTAGACAGGATCCAATTAACCTACCAGCATGTCTTTGGAGTGTGGGAGGAAACCCATTCAGGCACAGGTAGAACATGCAAACTCCAGGCAGGTAGTGCCATGGTTAAGATTCATGGCCAGTTCACACTACATGCGTTTCAGTAGCATTTTTTTTCTGCATCCAAAACGCACAGAAGGTTATATGGTTGTCAATGTCATAGTCACATCAGGGAAGGGGCGGACTGACCATTTGGAAACTCGGGCACTGCAGTAAGGGGCCCCATGAGATGCCCCTGGTACCTTTTTCATAGGCTTTTTTGAGTTTGGGCAAGGACACAGGGGCCCCATGATCCCCTATTGCCCGGGGGCCCATGAGTTGTCAGTCCGCCCCTGCATCAGGGTTTGCAGTTTAAGTGCGTTCCAGTTGCAGAAAAAAAAAAAAAAAAAGAACAGGCTGCATTTCTTTCTGCACAGAACTGTACTGGAGCACAAAACGCATCAAGAACGTACTGAAACGCATTGGAGCGCACATGTCCCTATTTGAATTGAAGAAAGAGAGGGGAAAAAATGAACTGGAATGCTTTTAAAAATGTGCACGCAGTAACGCACCTGGACTGCATTTCTGTAGTGTGAACCGGCCCTGAAACCAACAATCCTAGTACTGCCAGGCAGAAGTGCTAACCACTTAGCCCAGGGGTGTCAAACTGGCGGCCCTCCAGCTGTTGCAAGACTACAAGTCCCATCATGCCTCTGCCTTTGGGAGTCATTCTTGTAATTGTCAATCTTGCAATGCCTCTTGGGACTTGTAGTTTGCCAACAGTTGGAGGGCCACCAGTTTGACACCCGTGATTTAGCCACTGCCCAAATTTCAACTCTGGTTCCTGAAACTGTCCCAAGTATGCAACTATTTGTCCTGGGTTCATTCCACACCACTCCTATAACAATTTGTGACAACCAGCTTTCTTATCTTCTAAAGGGGACACCTGTTCACAAGTGAATTGGTGGGATTTCTGCTCCATTTGGGGAGATTTTTACTCATATCCTGTAGGTTTCTAGGGACAAGAATTGCAGAAAATATTTCCACTGGGAACACAGACGGCAATAAAATCCTGAGTCTAAGAGCGCCAGAACAAAGAGTCTAAAAACTTTTAATAGTGATGTTCATTCACTGTCAAACACAATGCCCCAACGCGTTTCTGGGGCTCCAAGATCTCCACCTTCTTCAGGGCTCAAGTATTTTATATGGGTCAAAGGACAGAAGAAATGGCGCTGTCATTGTTAGTTTAACAATTATTATTATTATTACTACGAGTTTATATAGGGTTTGCTCAGCGCTGTACAATAAAATGTGCCCAGAATTACTGTAGCTGCTAAACCAACCTTTCAAAACGTTTTTAACATGGAGGAACCCTGATAATAACCGAATGTATAATAAAAGCAGAAATACACTGCATCTGAGCACCACAAAGTAAAAATGCTTTTCAATTCATTTTTAATATTCAATGCAAACTCTCCCATCCATCCATGCTTTATTTTGCTGAAAAATACCCCCCCCCCCCCCCCAGCATTTCTGGTCATGGCCATCTTGAGTAAGGGCAGATGATTCATTTGGCATTGACTTCCTGGAATCCATCTGCCCTTAGTTCAGGAATACAAGCAGGCATGTGTGCTTAGCTGAGAATACCCTTCCTCCCCTCCAGAAGACTACTGGGGATGTATGAACTCATTTGGCGAAAAAAAAAAAACAAAGTTACTGAAGAAACATAAAAAAATAGCTGAAAACAAGTAAATATGATATATGTTCCTATCTATATACTAATGCTGGCAGCATAAGGATTAAAAGTAGTCATTGTGGATTGAGAGCGGGAAGATCCACTCAGGGAACCCCTGCAAGTAACTACTATATCAATAACTAATGCTACATTAGTGTGGCGGTTGGTGGGAAGAATGGCCCCTTCCATTGGCGGTCGGTGGGAAGAATGGCCCCTTCCATTGGCGGTCGGTGGGAAGAATGGCCCCTTCCATTGGCGGTCGGTGGGAAGAATGGCCCCTTCTATTGTTGGTCGGTGGGAAGAATGGCCCCCTCCATTGGCGGTCGGTGGGAAAAATGGCCCCTTCCACTGGCGGTCGGTGGGAAGAATGGCCCCTTCCATTGGCGGTCGGTGGGAAGAATGGCCCCTTCCATTGTTAGTCGGTGGGAAGAATGGCCGCTTCCATTGGCGGTCGGTGGGAAGAATGGCCGCTTCCATTGGCGGTCGGTGGGAAGAATGGCTCCTTCCATTGGCGGTCGGTGGGAAGAATGGCCCCCTCCATTGGCAGTCGGTGGGAAGAATGGCCCCTCCCGTTGGCGATCGGTGGGAAGAATGGCCCTTGCATAGATGGCTGAACCCCTGGAAACTGTTTTGAGGCCCACAAAAGTGCGTCACACGTTTTTTGTTGTGATTCTAGAATTTGACCCATGATTTCAATATGCTTAGGTGCATAAGGATTAAAAGTAGTCATTGTGGATTGAGAGCGTAAAGCTCCACTCAGGGAACCCCTGCAAGTAACTACTATATCAATAACTAATGGTACATTAGTGTGACGGTTGGTGGGAAGAATGGCCCTCCCATTGGCGGTCGGTGGGAAGAATGGCCCCTTCCATTGGCGGTCGGGTGGGAAGAATGGCCCTTCCATTGGCGGTTGGTGGGAAGAATGGCCCTTCCATTGGCAGTCGGTGGGAAGAATGGCTCCTTCCATTGGCGGTCGGTGGGAAGAATGGCTCCTTCCATTGGCGGTCGGTGGGAAGAATGGCTCCTTCCATTGGCGGTCGGTGGGAAGAATGGCTCCTTCCATTGGCGGTCGGTGGGAAGAATGGTCCCTTCCATTGGCGGTCGGTGGGAAGAATGGCCCCTTCCATTGGCGGTCGGTGGGAAGAATGGCCCCTTCCATTGGCGGTCGGTGGGAAGAATGGCCCCTTCCATTGGCGGTCGTTGAGAAGAATGGCCCCCCTCCATTGGTGGTTGGTAGGAAGAATGGCCCCCTCCATTGGCGGTCGGTGGGAAGAATGGCCCCTTCCATTGGCGGTCAGTGGGAAGAATGGCCCTTGCATAGATGGCTAAACCCTGGAAACTTTTTTGAGGCCCACAAAAGTGTGTCACACGTTTTTTGTTGTGATTCTGGAATTTGACCCATGATTTCAATATGCTTAGGTGTGAATGAGGCCTTGAGGAACAATAGACTTCCCTGAAACCCTGGTTGAGAGGCTGTGCTAAACTAATCCAAAGCATCTGAATCATATAGAACACCTTACCCCTGAAGAAGGGGGAGATCTGTGAGCCACTGAAATGAGTTGGCCGTTTGGTATTTATCCATTAAAAGAAATCCTAAATCTTAAAATTGGACTCAATCACCCATGGAGCCAAATACCCAGTTCTTTAAGGGATACACCAGTTGTGTTTGAGAGCAGTCTCGCTGTAGCTGCTGTTCCCTGTATGAATCCTATTGCTTTTCCTCAACTATGAAACCTTGAATAAATGCAGTGCCTCCATCTATACAAATTGCAGCAATAAATACCTGACAGAGGTTCTAATCCTACCCTACTCTATCTGATCAGATAAATACGTTCCTGGTACAAGAAATAAGAAAGGTGTGCAAAGTCTTAGCCTTGTCTTTCTACAGAAAGCAGCCACAGCCTGAGTAGAAAAGCCTGTCAGCATGCTGTACAGCAGATCTTTGCATGAAAGCAGTGGTCTCTCTGCAGAGGTCTTACATGACCCCCTGCTGAGTCAGAGCTATAGCTCTGCAATCTGTAAAGCTTGTACCCCGTACTGATTGGAGAGCTCTAGCTCTGACCCAGAAGGGGGTTTGTTGGACTGCTACAGAGAGATCACTGCTTTCTTCTCTACAGCATGCTGGCAGAGGACAGCCTTTCTTAAGAAAAATGAACTAAAAGACTTGCACAACTTGTTTAGATGCACCTGAATCAGGGGCGGACTGACAACTCATGGGGCCCCGGGCAATAGGGGATTATGGGGCCCCTGTGTCCTTGCCCAAACTCAAAAAAGCCTATGAAAAAGGTACCAGGGGCATCTCATGGGGCCCCCTACTGACCCCGGGCCCTCGGCAGTGCCCAAGTTTCCAAATGGTCAGTCCGCCCCTGACCTGAATGTATCTAGATGGTTTAAACTGAAAGTTTAATTGGGCTTTAGGGCTTAAAGATGGGTATCTTCATAGGCCAGTCTTTCAGTTACAAGAAAAATTCTATTTTTTTTCCTTCTGTAGTATTCAGTGAAGGTTTTCATGGCTGTATTTTTCTCCCTCTCCAGATATGCTTCAGCTCATCAACAATAATGAAAACGATTTTGGGTTCTTCGATGCATCATTTGCAGCAGTCAATACCCTGGCCCAAGACCCCAGTTCCAAAGTGGACATCGCAGTGGACCTCGCAGGAGGGGCTGCCCTCAGCTCCCTGGAGGGGTTACTGGCCGCCCCCTACCATCCCCACCTCCACCCCCAGGAAGATGTTTCCGCTGTCCACTCCAAGTTTCCACAGCCCACCAGCTGCCACCCAACCTCAGGACAATCGCATGCAACAGCTGAAGCTCAGCTTACAGAGCATGGTCAAGGATGAGCCCATGCAAATCTGCCCCACCCCACAGCATGTCCAGGCTAAGCCACCCACCACCCAGCATCTGCAGGGCATGCTATTCGGGCAGAGCTTGGTTACATCGGCGCAGCCTCAGTTCAACAACCAGCCCGTGGCAGGATACCAAGAGCAGAGCGCTGAGCCAGGTAATTGGTACCAAAATGGTTGCGTGGCGAAAAATTGTAGCTGACTGTTCTGTGACCATTGCAGTTGTGTGATGCTCAGCCGGTCTTAAAAGGTTAGTTCACCTTTACCAAAAAACTGCCTAGCTGGTAAGGAGCGCCTGTAGATAAAAACAAACTGTGCCTTTGGCTAAAGTTGGATAATGACCTTGCCATAGGTGTAGGCCCTTTACGTACCTCCCAAAGCCTGGACCAAAAACTCCCAGAGATGGCGTGGTCCCATCATGTCTTCTTGTTAAGGCACTCCCAGCTGTTACTGCTCACCCCCACCATCACAGGAGTGAGCTCTCAAACACCCGCACATGTGTGGTCCACCATCTCCTTTTTTATTATTACAGGTACATCTAATTTACGAGGGCACTTTACATATATATTGTACATTCACATCAGTCCCTGCCCTCAAGGAGCGTACAATCTACGGTCCCTAACTCACATTCATACATATACTAGAGCCAGTTTACCTACTAGCATGTTTTTGGCGCATGGGAGGAAACCCACACAGGCACAGGGAGAACATGAACTCCAGGCAGGTAGTGCAATGGTTGAGATTCAAACTGATGACCCCTAGTGCTGTTGGGCAGAAGTTCTAACCACTTGGCCACTGTGCTGCTCCATTACAGTATCACTGAACTCGGAGCTACTGCAACAGGAGAGAACATATGTGAGGGGGGGGTTTGAATCAGCTGGGAGTGGCAATGTCCTAGCAGGATGGGGATGCCATCTCTGGGAGTTTTTCAGCCAGGCTTCGGAAGGTTAGTAAATGGCCTACACAGTTGCCATAGCTGCACAGTTTGGTGGGTTTTATTCTTCTTTTTTTTTATACGGGTGCAATTCTTCTGCTTAGGCAGTTTTTTTTTTGGTCTTTTTTGCCTTTAGGTGGCCTAATGTGTGCCAGCAAAACACCCCCCCCCCCCCCAATTGCAACAACACCAGTAGTTATGGGTTCAAGCTGTGCAGCCACATTCAGCCCCACCATCCAGTAACTGGACCGGGCCATCCAGCACCAAGGGCAAGGATTCTGAATTGCGCCCCCTCCCCCACTGTTAATACATGTCATAGAATGGGTATACCACCCTACATCTATTCTTTGCTCCCTTGCTTCTCTATGCCCCCACCCCATGTCCTAGCTCTGCCACCATCTGTATGTCCCAGCAGATGGCAAAATAGTTTTCCATTTTCATTTGCCCCCTGTAGTGTGGTTTTGTGGTGTATGTATGTCTTTTTGTTTTTTTTTCTGAAAGGCATGGAACCTGGCTTGGTTTCATGCTACTGTAGCCAGTCCTCCAAGGCTGAACTTTGAGAGTGTCCTTCCGCACACAACAGATACAAAGCAGTTATGTTTGGCAGTTGGCTTGTGTAGGTGTGATAGTCTGCCCGTTCTTCTCAAATAATAACTCGTTTAACTCGCCTGGAGTCACCTGTGCTTGGTCAAAGCCTGCCTTCTTCTTACTCAATGAGGTTCTGCCAAGCTACACAGATATTTCCCAACTTGTGAGCGATACCAGTTGCTTAAAGCTGAACTCCTAGGAAAATAACTAAATGCACATTTATTTCAGTTACTTGTATAGACCGTCATGTTATACAGCGCTTTACATATATATTGTACACTGACGTCAGTGCCTTCTCCCAAGAAGCTTACAATCTAAAATCACATTCATACATACACATACTAGGGCCAGTTTAGACAGCCAATTAAACTACCAGCATGTCTTTGGAGTGCGGAAGGAAACCCACGCAGGCACAGGGAGAACATGCAAACTCCAGGCAGGTGGTGCCGGGGTTGGGATTCAAACTGATTACTCTAGTGCTGCCAGGCGGAAGTGATAACCATTTAGCCGCTGTGCTGCATATGAAATGCATATACCTTCAGCTAGGGCAGGGGTGTCCAAACTTTTTTCAAAGAGGGCCAGATTGGATGAAGTGAACATGGTGGAGGGCCGAACATTCTTTGAACCATTACAATTAAATGCAAATAAATTATTTTATGCCAAGTTAATTGCAAACGACATACTTTTCATTTCATAACATTAAGATCAACTGACAGCTGAGTTTTCACAATGTATTGAAAATAAATTAAAAAAAAAAACTTACCTGCACTAATGTGAAGGGTGAAAAAGGTAGCTGGAGCTGAAGTCTCTGCTCGGCAGCCGGGAGGGGAAGAGAAACACACTTCACGCTGGAAGCCCGGCCCTGACGTCACCGCCCTCTGTCGCTCCCAGCGCGGTGCAGACACGCATGCGCAGTGCTCTCAAGCAGAAGACTGTCTGCCACAGAAGGGAGGGCCGTGCGACAGCCGCATTTACACCGACCAGGGAGAACGCGCCGCAGTCAGGCATGCGCACTGCCCTCTGCTCTCAAGCAGAAGACTGTCTGCCATAGAAGGGAGGGTCGTGGGAGGGCCACATTACACAGAGCAGGGAGGGTTGTTGGAGGGCCGTATTAAACCGACCCCTGGGCCGTTAATTGGCCCACGGGCCGGACTTTAGACATGCCTGAGCTAGGGGGTTTACCTGCCAAAGAATCTATATTTCTGTCCATCCAGATTCCCTTCACAGCTCTACCACCCCATCAGGGTAGGTGACTTGAATTATTCTCTGCTCTAGTTTACATAACACTTGCAAGTCTTGTGTCTCTCTCAGCCTGTAATTGGACAGTGAAGAGTGAAGGAGTAGCAGCAGACTGATGAATTCCTCTATCACGCTGCTCTCATCTCCTATCAGCATGCCCCTTGTTAGCACAAACGCCCTGCAGCACAACTGATTGCGTCATTGTGCTGCTTTTCCCTCTCCCAGTTGGAGTTCTGCTGTGCAGGGATTTCAAAAGGCCGATGCCAAGTCCAGTACTTGACACAAGCATTTCTTTGAAATAATGTAAGTGTGAAAAAAAAAAGTGCTGTGCTACATAATCAAAAAATGCACAATTCCTATAGAATATAACTATACCGAAAACACAGGACAGTGAACTAAAAAAAAACAGAGATAGTGACTCAAAAAAATTATTATATAAACCAAAGTGCAATCAATTGGTGGTTTGCTGTGGACCCTCCTTAAGATGACGACCATCCCGTGCGAGAAATGTTGTGACGTCATCCGCATGCTCCTCCCCGACGCGTTCCGTCAACCGATCATGTGACTTTATCAAGGGGATCTGGTCAGGTACATCTTTGCCTTCTTTGTGGACCACACTTTGCATTTAGAAGTTTCTGATAGAGGAACTGCTTGTTGGGATATTTGGCTACCCTTATTTGCCTTTCACGGCCAAGACATCTTTTAAAGATCTTGAACGGCCTATAGAACTATCAGATACATTAGATATGAACGGGTGTATGTTCTAGATACAAACCCCAACTTTGCACGGCGAGAAACTTTGAGCAAGTTGCTAATTTGAACTAATCACAGGATTCAAGTGCAAACTCTCCTCCACCATAAATCTGCTCACCTCCAGCAGTGTGACCTCACATTATACAATGTTTTGGTCCCAAATGTACTGGACTCAGAAGTTCAACTTGCTGAAGATTAACTCCTAGGATGTCCCCTCCAGATAACTGCCTCAGGGTCAGCTGTATTCCTCATAAACAAAGCTCAACATAGTGCTTGATCCTTTAAATCTTTTATTGTACAATGATCCATAAGAAATGCACTCACATTCAGTAGGTGCACAACCACACCAGGTATGATGAGCATCCAGCAATGTACTTCTAAAAGCACAAGATGGCAGTATCATCCACAGCAGCATAGACCAGTCAACCCAATACAGGCTCCAAATTGTCACCACACTGTGTAATGCAAGGCAAAGCACGGGCCCTGTATGTATAATGCAATTTCCTTACTATGATGATCCTGGAGCGGTGTGTGGATCAGTATACCGCTGTTACAATCAATGGAAATGTGATGTCAACCACACACTCCTCCCCAACACGTTCCGTTCGTCACCGAGCACGTGACTTTATCAAGGGGATCTGATTCACAAGCATTTCTTTGGACAGGTACATCTTTGCCTTCTTTGTGGACCACACTTTGCATTTAGACGTTTTTGATAGAGAAACTGCTTGTTGGGATATTTGGCTATCCTTATTTGCCTTTCACGGCCAAGACATCTTTTAAAGATCTTGAACGGCCTATAGAACTATCAGATACATTAGCTATGAACTGGTGTATGTTCTAGATACAAACTCCAACTTTGCACGGCGAGAAACTTTGAACAAGTTTCTAATTTGAACTAATATTTGCCAACCACAGCACCAAGCATTAGTGATGGTCACATATAGGCACATTAATAGAATTAGAATTCCAGATTAAATCTAACTTAAAAATGTCTGCTTCCCCCTCCGAACACGTATGCTGACTAATCGGGGAGTGTAAAAAAAAAAAAAATATATATATACTTTACATCGGCCACATAATCTCGCTCCCCTGTGTCAGCCCGTGGTGGCTGCATGGGAGAAGAGGGAGCATGGACAACAGATGGACCATAGAAGTGTATGGGTGAAATTCCCACTCCCAAAATTCCCAGTCTTTGTCAAGGGTGCTCTCTTCTCCCCTGCAGCTGCCACTGGTTTAACAGGGGATCATGTGATCAGACCGGACAGAGAATAGGTAAGTACATACAGTCAGGTCCATAAATATTGGGACATCGACACAATTCTGACATTTTTGGCTCTATACAACACCACAATGGATTTGAAATGAAACAAACAAAATGTGCTTTAACTGTTTGATTTATGATTATTATTCTGTCCCATTACTTTTGGTCCCTTAACAAGTGGGAGGCACATATGCAAACTGTTGTAATTCCTACACCGTTCACCTGATATGGATGTAAATACCCTCAAATTAAAGCTGACAGTCTGCAGTTAAAGCACATCTTGTTTGTTTCATTTCAAATCCATTGTGGTGGTGTATAGAGCCAAAAATGTTAGAATTGTGTGTTGATGTCCCAATATTTATGGACCTGACTGTACCTTTTACACAGGTTAGTCACGATAGGTGTTGAAGACTTAGTTAGGTTGAGTCTGGAATTCTAATTTAACGCTTTAATGCTTTATGTGGCTGACCTCCAGCCACATAAACTTTCATTTAAATATATTGCTTAATGGCCACTGAAGCTATACATGTACTGTGTGCAGCAAACACCTTTTCAAACCCAAATAGGAATATGTAGAAGTAGCAGTGATATCACTGTGCTGTACAAAGCCTGAGCAGGGCTGTGGGAGGGGCCCAGCAGCTCCACCCACTGCAGGCTTCCTGCAGAAAACTACAGGAGGGGGTGGAGACCAGACCAGTCACCCTGCACAAAGGAAGAGCGCTGCAGCGATCAGTCTTTATTACAGGAAGCTCCTGCACAGAGGGAAAGTCTCACACTGGATTCCTGCACAGTTCTGGAAGAAATACACAAAGCACACCGAGGTTCAAGAAGAATGCATATGAAGAATGAGCTTAGACAATATTTTATTATCTCGGAGTTCAGCTTTTAAAAAAACTTTTACTACCAAACTGAATTTAACCCTAAAAAAATTGGCGTTTTACTTATCGATTGTATCTTATTTATTATTTTAAATTTCTACCTGGTGCCCAATACACAACTGTCTTTTTTTTTTTTTTTTATCAGCTACACAGGTGGTGTCCATCCCACACAGCACAGCAAGTCAACCCCTGCAGAGCATCACAGGTCAGCCTCTACAGAGCATTGCAAGTCAGCCATTACAGAACGTGGCCAGCCAGCCGCTGCAGAGCATTGCAAACCAGCCTCTGCAGAGCATCACATCACAAGCTCCGACACTGCAGACTGTGGCTGCCCAACCTCTGCAAACTCACCCCTCTCCACAGATCCAGCAGCCTCTGACCATCCACGCACAGAGCATCTCTTCTCAGCAGTTCCTGACCACCACCAGCGCCACTTCCATAGCCCCACAAATTCAGCAGGTGCCGGTGAGTGGGCTCTGCCTGTGAGGTTGCCCCCTGCTGGGATGTTTCTGTTTAATAACCTCATCTTCCCCTTTTTTCTGCATCCCTCACAGGTTCTGCTTCAGCCTCATTTTATCAAAGCGGACTCTCTGGTCCTTACGGCGGTAAAGACAGACACAGGGGTGATGTCGGGCATCAAAACATCGCCAACCAGCACAACCATCCAGACTACACCTCTGCAGATGCCGGTGAGGAGCTTAGATGGGATTGAGTTTGCCTAGGTTGCATTGTGGACTGTAGTTACATGTCAGGTAGATTGGGCATCCAGAAATAGCCAGACCTCTTACTAAACTCTAAACTACCAGTGCAGTAAATCTAAGTAAATGGCAAAGAAAGGTCTACACCCTATTACAGGCCAGCCTGAAATCTGACCTCCAATTTTCTAGTACAGGCATTGAGCAAAGTTTTTTTTTTTTTTTTTAACCTTTTTTTGGAATAAAAAATCTAGTTTGCTCATGAGTCCACCCAAGAGTGTGATTGGACAGTCAAGGTCATCCATGTGCTCCCTTCATCTTTAAGCATGGGCAGGTTGCTTAGGCAGTATAATGGAGAAGACCTCAGGACCCTATAACCAGCAGTTGCCCACCTTTGTCCAGGCAGTTGCCCACCCTTGTCCAGGCAGTTGCCCACCCTTGTCCAGGCAGTTGCCCACCCTTGTCCAGGCAGTTGCCCACCTTTGTCCAGGCAGCTGCAACCTTTGTTGCTAAGATTATAAAATTAGCTGCAATCTCCAAATTGTATTATCCGTCCACTAGCTATATTGTGCAGCAGATGGTTTGGTGGATAAAACCATTTTTCATATATGGGTTTCATCCATAAACTTCTCTGTTCCAGGGCTTTGTTTGGCCCTGCTATCCTTTGATAGCTGTGTCGGTAAATTGTGTATGGATTATTTTTCATGTTCTAGGCCTTGGTAAGTGGAGGAACCATATTAACCACAGTACCAATAATGATGGATGCCGACAAGTTGCCCATCAACCGTATAAATGCCGGTGGAAAGATGGCCATGTTGAACTGCAAAGGAGAAAAACGTACTGCTCACAACGCCATCGAGAAGCGCTATCGATCCTCCATCAATGACAAGATCATTGAACTGAAGGACCTTGTGGTGGGAACAGAGGCCAAGGTAAAGCACTAGAAAAGGAACCTAATTGCATATTTATTCTGTTCTAATAGGGAAATGGTACAGACAGAGAAGTAGAAGGATGTTGTAGTCATGGCTGGACCCTTTTTATACTGAAAAAGGGCTCTCATCTTTAACTGAAATGAATTACCTTGCTCTACCAAAACATTGGTGTACCAATAAATAACTCCTGTTGCCTGAACCTTTTTAAAATATTCCAGTACCGTCTTTGTCATCAAAGGTGTAAAGCAGTTGTGTTGGCATTTGCATAAATAAAATATTATCCCAAGATGGTGCCTGCTACCACAGTACTGAAGAGCCACTCCATTTCTTGTGAGTGAGGTCTGACATTTGGCGTCCTTGTGAGGTTGTGAAGGACCCCTCTGCCTTTAAAACCAAAAGGCTGTCCTACCTGCGTGCTGTCACAGATATCTGGACCAATCAAAGTGCATACATGTTTAGTTGGTTTATTTAGGAGCTTGCCAGCCCTTGGGAGAACATTTCGTAGGTTGGCCTATTGAGTTGCGCTGTAGACCCATGTACAGTCTTGATACTTATAATGTTACTTAAGTAGAAGGGTTTTTCTGGTTCTAGGGCAACGGGGTTTTTGATGACCATACTTTTTGAAGTACTTTGTATAGGACTTACTGGAGCAACAGCCTCAACACCAAGAGAAAAAACGGGCGGCAGCATACCGTAAACTCCAACGCTTGTAACACTTTATTGTTCCATGATAAACTGCACAAAGCCCTGCTTGTGTTGGGACTACTCCTTTAATACATTTCACCTACTGTTGAGCTTAAGCATGGAGATTACTTCTCTATGATGAAGCCAAGTGATGGGTGAAACCATCAGAGGAGAAGGTCTCTGGCAGGGTTATATGTAGTTTGTCTTGGAACAATAAAGTTTTTGTCAGGAATCTAGGAATGACCAGAAAGGTGTGGACTGACACAGGGAACGCAGGCTTCAGGTATAGTATATTATTAGCCACCCAGATATATATAAACGCACAGTGAACAAACCAACCTTCCACTAATCTTAGTAGGTGAGGGAACACAGGCGTAGTCAGGGCTGGAGAGGTGGAACGGTCAGGCCGGCCGTAGGGTTCTGTAACGACCGCCTGGTGGTACCTCTAGCGGTCCTCAGGGCAGGATTCCCCAGGGCGCGGAGTCTAAGTCCCAGTCTGCTTATTCACCAGGGCCCCTGATGGTGGGGATGGACTTGGAGCAGACAGTAACCAGGTCGCGGCCCCTGAGTACACCTGCTCGTGGTAGAGGGATCCGCCAGAGGTATGTGCAGGTAGAAAGCCTGATGTGAAGAGGCAGAAGGTGTGAGCAGGGATGGCTGGATCCGTGCAGGATGGATGGATGGCAGAGTAGTTAGCGTGGTCAGACGGACCAGGTCAGCAACGTGCGGGCAGCGAGGTACCGAAGGAGCAGGCGGAGAATGGTCAGGGTCACAAGCTGGGTTCAGTAACTCACGGGCAGCGCGGTACAGAGGATCAGGCAGCGAATGGTCAGGGTCACAAGCTGGGTTCAGTAACTCACGGGCAGCGCAGTACAGAGGATCAGGCAGAGAATGGTCAGAGTCACAAGTCGGGTTAAACAGGAGACGGTCAGCAGAGGTCAGGATCAGGCAGGGTCAGCAACAAATCAGACAGGCAGAGGCATAGGAACACAGGATACAAGGGCTCATGGGAAACATACACCAAGGCCCTGACCACAGGCCTGGTCATTCCTTAAATCAGTGTTTCTCAACTCCAGTCCTCATGGACCCCCAACAGGTCATGTTTTCAGGATTTCCCTCAGATGAAACAGCTGTGGTAATTACTAAGGCAGTGAAAAACTGATCAAATCACCTGTGCAAAATAATGGAAATCCTGAAAACATGACCTGTTGGGGGTCCATGAGGACTGGAGTTGAGAAACACTGCCTTAAATACACCTTCTGCAATCAGCCCAGGTGTTGGCTGATTGCAGGAGTGAGCTTCTAGCTGCTGAGAGCACCCGCTGGTCAGCCCTGGTACTGCAGCCCACACGGCAGGTGAGTCCCACCACCATTGGCGAGTCCATTCCTGACAGTTTTACATGCACTGGACATTACAGCTAATTTCCTCTGGATGTATTGGCAGTTTGGGGTAAGGGCGTATTGGCAGTTTGGGGTAAGGGCGTGTCCTTGTTTGACGTACCCATAGAACTGAAGGACTGATCCACTAGTGTACTTCGGAGAAACTTTACTAATTTTCAACACCAAGATTTTGAATACTTTTACCTGGAGAACCTCTTTAAGTATTTATAAATCCTAGGAAAACCATATGCCATATAAACAGAACACTTTTTGCTCTTTCCCCACAGCTGAACAAGTCGGCCATTTTGAAGAAGGCCATTGACTATATTCGATATCTGCAGCAGAGTAACGTCAAACTAAAACAAGAGAACATCATGCTCAAAATGGCTGCCCAGAAAAACAGTAAGACTTCCCTGCCACTTAATTTTCTTGGTGCTAGCCCAGTTAGCGAGCCAAAGGCTGTCATTCTAGCGGAGCAGTGACAACACCTTTTTGCTTCAGTGGCATCATGGTGTCACTACTTCCTCGCAGACTGACAGTTGACATTCTCATGCATTTTGGTGGCCTCTGGGTAGTTGAACCAATACATTTTGTAGGATATCATTGCAAATCTGTGCCCTTATAGATATTCCTGATGCATGGTAAACCTAATTTTGGCAGTAAGTCTATCCGTGCGCAGGGAGTGTGTAATTCACCACGATGCATTATGCAGATGGCTTCAGTTTTTATTTTTGTTGTTTTTTTTTGTGTTTTTGGGTTTTTTTTTCATGTATCTCCTAATATAAGAGCTGTCTTAGATTTCTAAAAAAAAAACCTTCAGCTGTCCCTATCGACTTTTTTGCTTAGTTTTCGTGCTTTGACCAATCCACAATTATTTGGACAGGTTCATTAAAGCTGTACAGTGGTTTGATGTTTCTTCCCATCCTTTCTCCTCTGTCCTTGTTAGGTACTTTGAAAGACATAGTAGCGGGTACAGGGGTTAATATGGATGGTGTGAAAGCAGAGATGATGGATGTCCTAACGCCACCCCCCTTCGGATGTGGAATCCCCATCACACACTGGCAGTCCGCTATCCCAGTGTAATAGTGACTCCGAGCCAGACAGCCCCTTCACTGATGAAGCCAAGGTAAGGACCCAAATCTGAATCCAAAGCCATTTCCTAAAACCTGTTAAAGCGGAACTCTAGGCAAATATAATGGTTTTTATTGAATAAAAGCAGTGCAAGCACCTGAATGTGACCTGGTATCAGCCTTTCGTAGTCCCTGTACAGCAGGGCTGGAGTGTGTGAAAAAGAAGCAGTAAAAGGAGCCAATGAAGTCGTGTGCTGACAAGTAGCATGCCAACAGGAAGAGAGAGCAGATTGACAGATGTGCTTATCGCTGTGCTGCTTCTTCTTGCACTGTCCTGTCACAAGCTGGGATCCAAGGATGTGGGTTTAATGATGCCTACAGCGGAGAACATCTGGGTGGCAGAAAGGGTGGGTCTGGTGGAATCCTTGATAGAAGCTGAATAATGCAGCAAACGCTTTTTGGATAGAGTAAGGGAGGGTTAGAGCCCATGTCAGATTTTTTTTTTTTTTTTTTGCCATCTGTGTCCCATTGCAGAGATTTCCATTCACTTCCTGTCCCATAGTAAAACAAGAAGTGAAAGGAAATCCCTCCAAATTAAAGTGCTACTAAACCCACAACAGTACAATCAGTCTGTAGATGCAGTAAAGCATGCTTGTTATACTCACTGTGGAACCTAAGGGGTTAATTCTCTGCATTGGGTAAAAAGGCTGTGTGATCCTGTCTTCTCTGATCCTCCCCTTTTTTCTACTGTCCCCAATTAATCTGCTGATAGAACAGAGCCTTGGGGGCAAGCTGCACATGCTCTGTTTGGTGTGTATTGCTAGAGAGTTTACTTATTTTTTTTTCTTGGGAGAGTGCACATGGACAGCACAGGGCCAATCAGCGCTGTCCAGACAGATGGTCAGGGGTTATGCAGCCTCATAGGACAATCGTAGGAGAATAAAAACCCCTCCTACAAGATTAACCAGTGCTTTGCTGGACACTGATAGAAGACTGCTATATACTGCTGATGAGAAAAGGTATTTAGCAGTTTATATTTACTAAAATAATTGCATTTCCATGTTCTGTGTAATGTGCTGTCTTCACCCAGACTGGTTCTTTACTGGCCCTCCAATCTCTGTTGTGATCATATTAGCTGTGACTTCCTACTGCTTCACAGCTGCCTGCCCACTGCGCATGTGCAAGATCAGGCTGTCAGATTGGTTCTGCACCATGTGACAAGAATTGCAAAAGTGGGAGCAGGTACCTATCAGAAAAAGGCATCCCAACCCTCCCCCCAAAAAACACTCAAAGTGGTGCGTGTGTGTGTAAAAAAAAAAGTGTTTGTGTGTGTATATACTGTGTGTGTGTGTATATATATACAGTTGCAAGAAAAAGTATGTGAACCCCTTGGGATTACGTGGAGTTTTGCATGAATTGGGCATAAAATGTGCTCTGAACGTCATCTAAGTCACAACAATAGAAGAACACAGTCTGCTGAACATAATACTACACAAACATTAGATGTTGCCATGGTTTAATTGCACATAACATGTAAACATTCACAGTGCAGGGAGGAAAAAGTATGTGAACCTTTGGACTTAATAACTGGTTGACCCTCTTTTGGCAGCAATAACCTCAACCAAACGTTTCCTGTAGTTGCAGATCAGACCTGCACAACGATCTGGAGTCATTTTGGACCACTCCTCTTCACAAAACTGTTTCAGTGTAGCAATATTCTTGGGATGTCTGGTGTGAATCGCTCTCTTAAGGTCATGCCACAGCATTTCAATCGGGTTGAGGTCAGGACTTTGACTGGGCCACTCCAGAAGGCGTATTCTGTGCTGTTGCAGCCATTGTTTTGTTGAATGACTTGTATGCTTTGGGTCATTGTCCTGTTGCATCACCCATCCTCTGCGGAGCTTCAGTTGGTGGACAGATGGTCGTACATTTTCCTGCAAAATGTCTTGATAAACTCTGGAATTCATTTTCCCATCAATGACAACAATCCGTCCAGGCCCTGAGGCAGCAAAGCAGCCCCAAACCATGATGCTCCCTCCGCCATGTTTCACAGTGGGGATGAGGTTTTGATGTTGGTGTGCTGTGCCTTTTTTTCTCCACACATAGTGTTGTGTGTTCTTCCCAAACAACTCAATCTTGGTTTCATCTGCCCACAGTATATTTTGCCAGTAGTACTGTGGAACATCCAGGTGCTCTTTTGCAAACTTCAAACGTGCTGCAATATTCTTTTTGGACAGCAATGGCTTCCTCCGTGGTGTCCTCCCATGTACTCCATTCTTGTTTAATGTTTTCCTTATTGTAGATGTGTCAACAAAAATGTTAGCATGTGCCAGAGATTTCTGTAGGTCTTTAGCTGACACTCTGGGATTCTTCTTTACCTCATGCAGCATTCTGCGCTGTGCTCTTGCAGTCATTTTTACAGGACGACCATGCCTAGGGAGAGTAGCAACAGTGCTAAACTTTCTCCATTTGTAGACAGTCTGTCTTACCGTGGACACATGAACATCAAGGCTTTTGGAGATACTTTTGTAACCCTTTCCAGCTTCATGCAAGTCAACAATTCTTGATGGTAGGTCTTCTGAGAGCTCTTTTCTGCGAGGCATGGTTCACATCAGACAGTGCTTCTTGAAACCAGTAAACCCAAAACAGGTGTGTGTTTTTTAAGGGCAGGACAGCTGTCAGCAACACATCCAATATCATCACACTGATTGGAGTCAAGGTTGGCTCACTCCTGGCTCCAATTAGCTCTGGGAGAAGTCATTAAGCTAGGGCTTCACATACTTTTTCCTCCCTGCACTGTGAATGTTTACATGTTCTGTGCAATTAAACCATGGCAACATCTAATGTTTGTGTAGTATTATGTTCAGCAGACTGTGTTCTTCTATTGTTGTGACTTAGATGACATTCAGAGCACATTTTATGCCCAATTCATGCAAAACTCCACGGAATCCCAAGGGGTTCACATACTTTTTCTTGCAACTGTATATATATATATACAGTTGCAAGAAAAAGTATGTGAACCCCTTGGGATTACGTGGAGTTTTGCATGAATTGGGCATAAAATGTGCTCTGAACGTCATCTAAGTCACAACAATAGAAGAACACAGTCTGCTGAACATAATACTACACAAACATTAGATGTTGCCATGGTTGCCACGGACCCGCGAAAATCGAGTGAGGGAAAAGCCGGTAAGTGTGCAGTGCAGAGGTGCTGCTGCAACCACATATGCTGGCTGCAGCAGCACCATACTGCAACAGGGGTCAGCAAGTGTCATTTACAGTCGCGCGGGGGGGGGGGGGCGCGAAATGTTTTCTTCTTCCTAGGGGGGGCATGACAGAAAATAATTGAGAAGCACTGCGCTAACTGAAGTTAGTAGAATACTTCCTACAAAATACTTTGTTGCTATTGACGGCTTCAAGACGGCTCCTGTATGGAGGAACAAGTCGCATGCATTGCTCCGGTGTGATTTGTGCCCATTCTCCCACACAAACAGTCTTCAAATCTTGAAGGCTCCGTGGGCCTTGTCTATCAATGTTGATCTTTAGTTCTTTCCATAGATTTTCTATTGGATTCAAGTTTGGTGATTGGCTGGGTCATTCTAGCAGCTTTATTTTCTTTCTTTGAAACCAACTGAGAGTTTCCTTGGCTTTGTGTTTGGGATCATTGTTTTGCTGAAATGTCCGCCCTCGTTTCATCTTCATCATCCTGGTAGATGGCAGCAGGTTTTTATCAAGAATGTCCTGGTACATTTTTCCATTTATCATTTTTTTCAATGACCTGAAGTTTGTCAGTACCGTAAGATGAAAAACAGCCCCACACCATGATGTTCCCACCTCCATGCTTCACTGTTGAGATCGTGTCTTTGGGGTGATGTGCAGTGCCATGTGTCCTCCAAACATGGTGTGTATTATGGCGTCTAAAGAGTTCAATGTTGGTCTCATCTGACCAGACTATATTCTCCCAGTATTTCACAGGCTTGTCTAAATGTTATGCAGCAAACTTCAAACAAGCTTCAACATGCTTCTTCAGCAATGGAGTCTTGCTTAGTGAGCATGCATACAGGCCATGGCGGCTGAGTGCATTACTTACTGTTTTCTTTGAACCACTTGTACCTGCTAATTCCAGGTCTTCTGAAGCTCTCCACAAGTGGTCCTTGGCTCTTGGACAACTCTTCTGATAATTCTTTTCACTCCTCTGTCAGAAATCTTGTGAGGAGCACCTGGTCATGGCCAGTTTATGGTGAAATGTTCTTTCCCCTTTCAGGTCATGGCCTCAACAGTACTCACTGGTACATTCAGAAGTTTAGAAATCCTTCTGTAACCAATGCCAGTATGTTTTGCAACAATAAGGCTGCAAAGGTCTTGAGAGAGCTCTTTGCTTTTACCCATCATAAGATGTCTCTTGTGATACCTTGGTAATTAGATCTTTCTTCCTTTCTTTCTTCCTTCTTTTTTTTTTTTTGTTTTTTTTTATAGGCCATCAGTTGAGACTGAACCAGCTGATGATAATTTGTACCGACAATGGGCGGGATTGCTTTCTAATTACTGATTGCGGCTGGTGTCTAGGCTTTCCATGCCTTTTTTGCACCTCCCCTTTCTTCACGTGTTCAATACATTTTCCCTGTGTCATTCCATTTTACTACACATAGCTTCACTTCTGAACTTTTTATGGTTTTGTTTGTATGTATGAATTGCATGGGTTGTTACCAATGTGTGATGGACATTTCATGTAAATGGAACCTTTTTCGAAATATATAGTTACTGAGAAAAATGGTGGTGGTGTGTGTTTTAACACGTATTCCGATTTGTGGAAACAGTATTTTGTTATTGTGGTACAATACAAACCCACTTGTCATGTACTTTTTACTATGTCAAAACCAAACTAAGCAAGTTTTACAAACATCACATTCTCTTTTTTCCTTTTCTCCTGCTGTGCCCTGAGAGCTCTGCTGGAAACCTCAGTTGCCCAGTTGGCTCACATTTCCTCTCTTTTAATAAAACTACCTGCAGACATCTTCAAACACTGTAGTTATATCAAAGAAGGCATCCCTAGGCTTCCTCTAGGTGAACATGCTTCTATCCCCATATCTCCTGCAGGGATGAGCTGTAAGCAACGACCTCTGGATGTTTTCTGAGGATATCCTTCCTCCAGGATGTCTGCCTAGCCTCCTCTTCCATTTCTTTGTGATCTGCTGTGCAACTGCCAGCCATTAATTTTACAGAGAAGTGTGGGATGCCTTTAAAATTTATTATTTTAGGACTGCAAGCTGGTAGGTGTAAATCAACCAGGTATAAGGTGTTGGTTTGTGTGTTTTTTTTTTGGTATGGGGTTCTTTTTCTTAGTTTTTAAATCTTTTGTAGCTATGTTATCGAACTATATGCACAAGGTGCTTGTTGGTACCATACTTCCATCATGGCATCACACAGCAGACGTTCTTGACTCCTCACTTGTCCAGATTTCGCAAGTCAACTGCAGGAGTAAAGCTGCCCATAGTTGGATTGAAATTCAGCCAGTTCAGCTTCATTTCAGTCCATCTATGGCCAATCTTGTTCGGCAAAAATCGATCTGACAAACCTCTGAAGAGAAACGTTGGAAAACTTTTGTGGATCAATGTATTCTGACGAAGAAGTTTACCGTCCCAATACAGTGATCAGCATGTTGGCTGAACGAAAAAAAAAAAAGATTTGCTTTATCAAGTAAAAACCCATTGGGCCAGGGTATCCATTATGCAGAAAGCAAAGCCTCCTAGTGGCATATAAATGTATTTATTTTTTTTTTGGCACTTTTTGCAGCAGTTAGTTTGGCAAGGATGCCTATATTACTCCCAGTGGCATATCATTTTTTTTGGCACTTTTGCAGCAATTAGTTTGGCAAGGATGCCTATCTCGATCATCTATAAACATCACATATACTGTAGATATTTAAGTAGAAATCTCTATAGACTTCCTCCAGGTAGTGGAAGCTGCAACTTGTATGAACTTGGGTATTTGCAGCGTACAATGGGCGCTCTTTTTACATTTGCCACCATACTGCCATTGTGTATAGAAAGAGTCAATGGTGCATGCCCAGACTTGATGGTGCATGCCCAGAGTCCATGGTGCATGCCCAGAGTCCATGGTGCATGCCCAGAGTCCATGGTGCATGCCCATGGTGCATGCCCAGAGTCCATGGTGCATGCCCAGAGTCCATGGTGCATGCCCAGAGTCCATGGTGTATGCCCATGGTGCATGCCCAGAGTCCATGGTGCATGCCCATGGTGCATGCCCAGAGTCCATGGTGCATGCCCAGAGTCCATGGTGCATGCCCAGAGTCCATGGTGCATGCCCAGAGCCCATGGTGCATGCCCAGAGTCCATGGTGCATGCCCAGAGCTGATGGTGCATGCCCAGAGCCCATGGTGCATGCCCAGAGTCCATGGTGCATGCCCAGAGCCCATGGTGCATGCCCAGAGCCGATGGTGCATGCCCAGAGCCCATGGTGCATGCCCAGAGCCCATGGTGCATGCCCGTAGTCCATGGTGCATGCCCAGATGAACATTCCTATTCCCAAGACACCTCAGCGTCTTATGATCAGTCTGTCTTTTCCTGTATATTGAGGGTATACAGTCTCTTCACTTCTTCTTGCCACATTTTGTGTCTTTCCTTTTCCTATGTACTGCTACTCTTACCGCCAGCACTCGGCATTTTTTTGGCATAGAGTTGTGCCAGGACGCATAAAGCAATTTGGAACAAACTTTTGCGTTTTTAACTCCAGATAAACCACTAAATAGATTTAAGAAATATAAAAGGAAATTGCTTTACCTGCCAAAGGATTCATACGTCCATGCATGTAGTCCTGAGATTTCTACAGCTTTGCCACACTGCGCAGTCCAATCTGGTAGGACCGGAGACCTGCAGTTAGATAACCATTCCAGATCGTTTGACGGTGGGGTGATGGTCTTTATCGATGAACAAAGAGAGAAGCAAGGCTCCAGAATGTCCCCTGTAAAAATAAGAGGAGATGTGGGATAGCCCTTTATAGTGCAGTACCTGGATGGTATTGGTTGAAAATGTATAAAATGACAAATAGGCAAAAAAGATGACTTGCATTTGGTGAGGTTGTGAATGACCAAGTGGTATGGTAGATGCAACCTGTGGTCTCCACTAGCATAAAAGGTAGGTCGCTCTTGATGCCTCAGGGAACCTGCTCCTAGAACCTCATGGGGACATCAGGGTGGGGGGTTAGCGGCTGGTATAGAAAGAAGAAAAAGTCCCATTAATTGTTCGACCAGCAGAAGTGCCCACGGTGACGTGTTAATTTGAAACCCATTACCATGGGTGCCACTGCGGTTTTAACAGTTGATGGGACTTTTTTCTCTTTTCTAAACCAATTACAGGTCCTGTCCTTCCCCCAGTCTGTGATTGGACGGTGAAGGAGAAGCAGCACGTCTGTCTGTCACTCTGCTCTCTCCTATCAGTGTTCTTATTGCACTGCAGCAGGGGTAGACTGACCATTTGGAAACTCGGGCACTGCTCAAGGGCCCGGGGACAGTATGGGGCCCCATGAGATGCCCCTGGTACCTTTTTCATAGGCTTTTTTGAGTTTGGGCAAGGACACAGGGGCCCCATGATCCCCTATTGCCCGGGGGCCCCATGAGTTGTCAGTCCGCCCCTGCACTGCAGCACACCTGACTGGCTTCTTGTGCTGCTTCTCCCACTTTGGTCTTAGCTCGGCTATACAAGGATTGTAGAGGCTGATACCAGGCCAAATTAACATTGCTTTTATTTAAAAAAAAAAAAATACAATTAATGATGTTTTGATGAATACAGAGCTGCATTATTTTGTCTTTTTATATCTACCTGGAGCTCTGCTTTAAGGAAGGAAATTGGGGAAGTGTCTGTATATAGAACACTAGATGAGGCATAATGCTCAGCAATTGTAAATAAATGTTGAACAATGGGGAAAAAATGATTTTCGGATCACAAAACAACAGCACAAATTACTTGGTGAAAATCCCTCTTCCAGGCTGTAAACAAGCCGTCCACGTTCCCACTCCTCCACCCACAGCTGTACATTCAGCTTTATAATGTACTCATTCACACACATGGTTTACATTCTTCTACAGACTACCAACATTCCACTACCATTCCAGCATTCATAATGACCTACATTGTCAGCTTCTGGGACAAAACTGTGTTGTGAACACGGACGGGTCCGTCCATAGAGCAGTGATATTTTCAGCCAATCAGATGATTCATTTCCACAGTTTAGAACAGAACAAGGAACGAAGGCTTCTTGCTGTCGGTTGCTGGACTTGGCTCCTCATCTTAGGGCCCGTTTAATGCTGAATGTGTTGCGGTAACCATGTGTTATGTAAAAGCACATGTGTGATGCCTTAGAGTGCATTCATTTTGAATAGCAACAAATGATTCTACACAAAAAAAAACAACATGCTTGTCCTGTAGCGTACCCCAACATACATATGGGAACCTCTGATGCTTGGTTCACTAAGCCTGTGATGGTGAAACGCGTTGGAGGGGCAGTTTTTGGGCAGGAACAGTTTGTGTGTTACCATGTCATTTTGTGGTTAAATGTTTGATAAGCTATGGTTTGTATTGTGTATTAAATTTTTTATATTCTTGATCATGCAGGTTTCTTTTTGTATATAGATAGGTCACACTTCTCCTTTTTTGACCCTGGCTTTCCCCCCCCCCCAGGTGCAAGTCAAGCAGGAACTCCCATCTCCTCCTGGTTCAGGGATGTTGGACCGCTCTCGCATGGCACTCTGTGTTTTTGTATTCCTCTGTCTCTCCTTCAATCCCCTGTCCTTCTTGATGGGTGGCTCCAGGAGCCAAGAGGCCTCGAATGATGCCGCATTTCATGGTGGCGGGAGAAGCATGCTGGAAATGCCTTACTCTGGTAAGTTGTCAGTGATAGAATACCAGGCTCACCAAGACTGCTGTCAGGCCTTGGACATTGGGAGCTCTAGATCTGGTCTTTACAGGCAGTTTTATCTGTTTTTGATATGCAATAAAATGAGGGTAGAACTGGGCTTAGGGTGCAGGAGAACATTTCCCCCACCCTGACCTTCTTCTTTTTTTTTTTCCTCTTCCCCCGGACCAGTACACACATTATTTTATTTTTTTCATCCCAGAGGTTCCTTATTCCTCCTTCTTTTCTTCCTTTCTTCTTCTTCCTCCTTCTTTTCTTCCTTTTTTTCTTCTTCTTCCTTCTTTCATCTCTCTCCTTTTCTTCTTCTTCCTTTTCTTCCTTTTCTTCTTCTTCCTTCTCTTCTTCCTTACTTTTCTTCTTCTTCCTTCTTCTTCTTCCTTTTCTACTTCTTCCTTCTTTTCTTCCTTTTCTTCTTCTTCCTTTTCTTCTTCTTCTTCTTCCTTCTTTTCTTCCTTTTCTACTTCTTCCTTCTTTTCTTCTTCTTCCTTTTCTTCTGCTTCTTCTTCCTTCTTCTTTTCTTCCTTTTCTACTTCTACCTTTTCTTCCTTTTCTACTTCTTCCTTCTTTTCTTCTTCCTTCTTTACTTCCTTTTCTTCTTCTTCTTCTTCTTCTTTCTTCTTCTTCTTCTTCCTTTCTTCATCCTTTCTTCTTCCTTTCTTCATCCTTTCTTCTTCTTCCTTTCTTCATCCTTTCTTCTTCTTCCTTTCTTCTTCTTCCTTTCTTCATCCTTCCTTCTCTTCTTCCTCCTTCTTCCCTACTTTTTGACTTTTGTCTTATTAAAAGTGGATCTCCACAATATACAGCAATGGATCTTATGAAGAAGCCGTACTTGCCCTTTAAAGTAGAACTATAGGCAAAGCTTTGGATAGCTTCTGGAAGGGTTATGACCCCTATCAGATTTTTTTTTTTCTTTTTTTCACGATCTGTGACCCATTGTGGAGATTTCCCTTCACTTCCTGTCCCATAGCCAAACAGGAAGGAAGAGGAAATTAAGGGAATTCCCAGGGGACCCCGTGGTTACCACAAAAAGTGTCCCCATTGGAAAATTTCCCCTTTATTACTTTTCTGGGGACAACCCAAAATTTAGGATTTTCTTTTACTTTATTTTGTCCTGTTTACCAGGAAAGTGAGAGAGGGTGAATCGCCTCAACGGGGGCACAGCCAGCAACAAAAACTGACAGAGGTACTAATCCCTCTCCACTCTATCAAACGCTAAAATGTTTTGCCTTTAGTTATACTTTCAGTCCAGTGGCTTTGCCTAGACCGAGATGATGTCATCAGTCTGCTGCATTCAGGAGGAAGCATTTCCTCAGTCTCCTCTCCCCCAGTGATCAGACTGCAACATTGTAACTTTATAGCATATCACAAGGTGAGAGGCTGCAGCAGGGACTGATCTGTGTCAAACATTTTTTTTTTTTTAATGCAGTCAAGAACCACACACACACAATTGTAAATGATTGTGTCATCTCTGGTCTGACATTTCAGTCCAGGAAGTAGATAGTGATACTGGATGATGCCAGAAAAGCTTCTGCAATCTTTCAGGAGAAAAAAGAATGCATGGACTTTAACATGAACTTGTGTTCTTCTGCAGAGAGCTCTTCATGGTTCAGCTGGTTTACTCCATCCGTTCTCCTCTGGCCTATAAACCTGATCATTGTGCTGTGCGTCTTCATTCGCCTCTTCATTTATGGTGAGCCGGTCACGCGGCTGCACTCAGAATCCTCAGTCCAGTTCTGGTGTCACCGAAAACAAGCCGACGTTGATCTGTCTCGGGTAACGTTCCTCTTGTGCTAAAACCTTCATTTTATTTAATGTTCTTTTTTTTTTTATAAATAAAGATTTCTCTTTTGTTCCCAAGTCCTCTATAGTGGATCACTCCCTTGGCAAATGCCCAGCGTGGGTTCGCCCTCACCCCAGACTGCCAACCCATCCAGCGGTGAACAAATGGCAGTACTGATGCTTGTAAAACTTTATTGATCTAGGACAAACTGCACAAAGCCTTGCCTGGGACCTTCTTAAGCATTTCCTCCACCACTGGGATTAATGGAGAGGAGGACCCAGGCAAAGCATCATGCAGCTTGTCCTGGAATAGTACGTTTTTTTACAAGTGTTGGACTTGACAGTCAATTTCCAGCTGTTTTTTTTTTCTCTGGATGTGATGTTCGATGTCCTGCCACCTAATTTACCTGTGATCCTAGTATAGATGGTGCACAGTAGACATTGTAGAAGCAAGTTTTCCAGTTTTCTCTCTTGGATAGAGGGTGGTAAGGTTGGAAACGGGAACAGGGGGGAAATCTTTGAACGGGCACACCTGTATCAGTGACTACTCTCTAAAAGGGAACTCACTTTGGCAAGATTTACTTTCACTTCCTGTTTCTCTGGGACAGGAAATAAGGGAAATCACCCCGGTCAGATTTTAGCCATTCCTACTCTACTAAAGGAGTAGCTTAAATGTAAGGCCTCATGCACACAGGACGTTTTTAAAAACTCTCCTCCTCTTGGCAAAAGAAAGGTGGCCAAAAGGTCAAAGGATTCCCTAGGGGACTTTAGAGGCAGAAGATATGAAACCTGAAATATATTACAAAAACAAGTAATCAATCTTTTATTCCAAAAAAATGGCCAATGGGACAAAGGTAAAATACAATATGATACAACAATTAATTAAGCCAGCATATACCCAAGTGTATTTAGAAATACAACAATATAGATACATGTCTTGCTTGGCGATTGTAACGGAACCAGACCCCAGACCGCACTTGGGTATTTTCCGTTATACTGCAGCTTCCCCGTCTGAACACCAATCCCGGGACACCACCCGCTGATCATGCAGGAAAGTAGACAGCACCAGACTCTTCTTAAGACAGGAAGTCAACTCCTTTATTCTTACACACACACACAAGATATATACACAGGGCAGGGAAACACAACCAGGGACAGGAAACACATCATCAGCCCACCCCATCAGTGGGAAGGGCTACAGGAAACACATCATCAGCCCGCCCCATCAGTGGGAAGGGCTACAGGAAACACATCATCAGCCCGCCCCATCAGTGGGAAGGGCCACAGGAAACACATCATCAGCCCGCCCCATCAGTGGGAAGGGCTACAGGAAACACATCATCAGCCCGCCGCACCCAACCAAGGCACAGAACCATGGGATGCAGCACATGGCAGAGGGCAATGGACAGCCACATGGCAGAGAACAAAGGACAACACACCAATATACAATATACATTCCCATTCACACCCTGTACCCCTTAACAGGCACAAGGGTGTATTAAAGAATTTGGGAAGATGATACAGGGGTCCCCCCACCCCCAAAAGTCACTACCGTCACAGCGATAATAAAATCTTCCCATAATTCCCAACATGTTTCAGAACAGAGTTCCTTCTTCAGGGAAAATTGCTGGTATAATGATGAATTAGTAGGTGTATCTGTGTAATTTGATTCAAAAATAGACATCTACAAAGCTGAGGCAGTCTAGCCAAAATCAGCGTAAGTGCTTTAAATTCACATCTCCAGCTCTGTAGGGGTTACTGCAAGGATCCCAGTGGGGCACCACCCGAATGAAAGGCTAATCTGGTCATAGCAGTCACAACAGAGGTATGCTCAGCAAGGAAGTCATTGCAACAGTGTTTCGGCAGAAAAATCACCTGACGCTTTTTGAAAGCGCCAAGCACTTGGGCGTTAATTCATTTCAATAGCCAGAAAAAATTATTATTCTGGACAATGAAATGAATTAATGCTCAAGCACTAAACATGCCTATCATTAACACGCATTTAGGTGCATTTACATTTTTTCTGCCAAAACACTGCTGTTCCTGGATGAACTGACCCTAGGTGGGGTTTTTATTTTTTTTCTGCTAGTAAACACTACTGCTACTAAAACTTCTAATATATGTGTGCATGAACAGATTGGACAACATGGAGGGGCGTAAAAAAAAAGCCTGACGCCCCTAAAAGTGGCTGCAAAAATGCCCTGTGTTCATGAAACCTAACATATTTTTACATTCTCCAGCCACATATAGGGTGTCCTGCCACCCAGGGGCGGACTGACAACTCATGGGGCCCCCGAGCAATAGTGGATCATGGGGCCCCTGTGTCCTTGCCCAAACTCAAATAAGCCTATGAAAAAGGTACCAGGGGCATCTCATGGGGCCCCGTACTGACCCCGGGCCCTCGGGCAGTGCCCGAGTTTCCAAATGGTCAGTCCGCCCCTGCTGCAACCAGTTCACGATTTATTTAATTATTTTTTTCCCAGTGTGACAGTGGGCAGAGGATCTCCCCCCACCCCGGCCATGTCATTCATTAAGTTTCCTGTGAATTAAGGAACTACAAGTACCGTCATCCACCGAAAAAGACGGCTTGCGGTTCTTAAAGAACTGTGAGGGCACTGATGAGCTCTCCTAATTCATTCACAAGCCCTGCAGCTTTCATGTAGTCCATATGAAGCTGCAGGGCTTGTCTGCAGAAGCCTGACATTGCACCCCTAATCCCCTGATCACAGGGGCAATGCTTCCCAGGCTCTTCCAGGAAAATAATAAATGCACACTTTTTTATCTGCAAAAATTGTTTTTTTTTTTGTTTTCTGGAAAGGTGAACTTATCCTTATATAGTACACCTGCCTCTTTTTCAGTTGTATGATGGGGAGCCTCTAGTGCTGCCCTCCCCATTAACCCTTCTGTCTCGTGAGAAAAACACTTCAGGTGTATGCTAACCATGCTCACCTGACTCCCCACTCCCACAATGCATTGCTCTGTTCCTGAGTGTCCTATTTATTGGTGGAGGAAGGCTGATCTTTTTTTTTTTTTTTTTGCAGACAGGCTGCACAGGTATGCAATGCGAAAGGAGCCGATTTTAAAATCTGAATGGTGCTTTGCAATATGTTGAGGGGTGATGGAGCACGGCAGATTTTTTTTTTTTTTATTTAAATGTTGAACTATCCTTCTAATTATGTATATTTGTTTACCATGTTCCCAAAACCCTGTCTGCACCAGCTGAAATTTAACATTGGGCTAGCGGTGAGTGCTTTTACTTGCAGCTGAAATCAGACAAAAGTAGCAGAGCAGGTGGGATTTGGCACTGTCTGAAATCTCCAGTCTTTTACCAGCAGCTGACTCCACACCCGATCTCCTATGGAAGTAGAATGGTGTTCAGGCTCTGGTCCGGTATAAGTTCTTGGTTTCCCCAAAATTTAATTGCAGAAAAATGTCTTACACAAAATTAAAGCAGTGTTATGTGCTGAAGGAAGGAAATAATGGCTGGCTCAACATGGAGCGTTAATATGTAAACCCAATATTTCCTATTCCTGCTGTAACATGTACTTGGATAAATGTCTCCTGATCTCTTTTGTAGCTTCCTTTGTGCGAAATCCCTGGTGTTGCTGCCAGCCACTTTGCTTTCCTAATAAAAACTGACCACAATAGATAGCGTGGTCAGTTTTTTTTTTTTTTTTTTTTTTTTTTTTTTTTTAATTTCCTAGCTGTAGTCTAATGATGACACATGCCCTTAGACCTGAAGTTTGGACCATATTTCATTTTATATAGTCTGGCTGAAAAAAACAAACCAAAAGTCCATCCAGTTCAAATATAAATATATATATATATATATATATATATATATATATATATAATCCTACACCCACAGTTGATCCAGAGGCAGGCAAAAGTCCAGCAAAGCACGATCCAATTTACTCCTGCAGGGGAAAAAATTCCTTCCTGATCCTCAGAGGCAATCCCTGGATCAACTTTACCTATAAATCTTAGTATCCAGTTATATTCTGTGTATCCAAGAAAGAATCCAGGACTTTCCTACAGCAATCACACTGAGCTGGCCACAACCAACTCTTGATGGAGTCTATTCTACATTTTCACAGCTCTTACTGTGAAGAAACCTTTCCGTGTTTGGAGATTAAATTTCTTTTTCCTCCAGATGTAAATGCACACCCACACACGTATGGGTGTAGGATGAAACAAAATGATGGACTAGGCCCTTTAAGCAGTGGCCTCTGTTTATCAATGGGTTTTATGGTTTTGCACTTTTTTTTTTTTTTTTTTTTTTTTCCACTGTATTTCCTGTTAAACCTTTTACTTGAAACCATTTTGACCTTCCATGCATTCTGCAGAAGTTGTAAGAGTGATGTTATCGTCTTCTCATCACAGGGAGACTTTGCCCAGGCCTCGCTTCACCTCTGGAAAGCCCTGAAAGCTCTGGGGCGACCTCTCCCCACGTCTAACTTTGACCTTTGCTGCAGCCTAATGTGGAGCGTCATACGCTACGTCCTTCAGCGGCTCTGGGTGGGATGCTGGTTAGCTGGGAGAGCTGGAGGATTCCGCAGGGACCATCAGCTGAAGGACGATGTGAGGAAGAGCTGCAGAGAGGCTGCCCTGGTATACCACCGCCTCCACCAGCTGCACATGACCGGTATGTTGCATCAGATGGCACTGCGTGGTTTAAAAATATAGATTTGAGTAAAGTGGGAAAAATTAGAACCTCTGTTAGGTTTTTATTGCTGTTCTTAACAGGATTTCGCCAATACGTCTCTCCAAGGTGTCAGAGACCCAGTGAAGGAAAATCTCGCTAATGGGGACACAGTAGTAAAAACCTGATAGAGGTTCTGATCCTTTACTGTTCTATGCATGGCTGGGGTTGAACTTGTACATCCAGTAGTGTACAATGAAACTCATGGCAGCCAATCAGAAGTCAACTTTACACCTTGCTATGGGGAATCCAAAAAAATATTCTGATTGGATCTTGTGGCATAATATACAGCTCTGCGGTATTAAACAAAAAGCTGTTTCTTTGGCCATAAAAGATCAGCCTGCTAATACTTTTTTTTTTTTTTCCCTTCTCTAGGGAAGCACGGAGGAGGTCATCTATCTGCCATCAATATGGCGCTGAGTGCAGTCAACCTGGCAGACTGCGCTGGTAACACCATCTCGGTAGCCACGCTTGCAGAGATCTACGTGGGAGCGGCATTGCGGGTCAAAGCCAGTCTGCATCGTCGCTTCCATTTCCTGGCGGTGAGAACATGCTTGGGACAAACATAGAGCTAGACTCGGACAAAAGTAACAAAAATGTATACATTAAGTCCACTGTGATGTCATTACTTTGTCCTACTCCCTTGTTCTATACTTGCCTGTCTGGAAATATTACATTTGTGTCAGGTAGCAGGCCTTGAGGTTTGTCAGGAATGGCAAACAGATTTGGGAGAAAAGGCAGGAAATTTGATTGGTGGTTCTAGGAAACTGGTTTTAGTCTGATACATTGATAAATTATCCCATAATCGGGTTGGGTGTTGGGTTTTGTGGTTGGGTGTTGGGTTTTGTGGTTGGGTGTTGGGTTTTGTGGTTGGGTGTTGGGTTTTGTGGTTGGGTGTTGGTGGTTTTGTTCAGCCAGCAGCTTGAACAAAGATGGATCTGATTTCCTCCATCCACACATTTGATGTGGATGGGGGAATCCTCCTGTTGTGCTATTGTGTTCTTAAGGCAGGGACCCTTCCCTGCCATCCGAATACAGTGATCAGTGCTGCTGGCTATAGCTGGCGTCACTGATTATTTGGGACAAACCCAACAGGTTGGTCGTACAGAAGTCAATCTGTAGATCCAGGCTGCCCATGCATGGATCAAAATTGGATCGGTCCCTGCTGAACCTGCCAAAGTTTTTTTTTGTTTGTTTTTTGTTTGTTTGTTTTTTTTTTTGTTTGTTTTTTTTTTTTGTTTGTTGTTTTTTTTTGTTTGGTTTTTTTTGTTTGGTTTTTTTTTTGTTTGGTTTTTTTTGTTTGGTGTTTTTTGTTTGGTGTTTTTTGTTTGGTGTTTTTTGTTTGGTTTTTTTTTGTTTGGTTTTTTTTGTTTGGTTTTTTTTGTTTGGTGTTTTTTGTTTGGTGTTTTTTTTGTTTGGTGTTTTTTGTTTGGTGTTTTTTGTTTGGTGTTTTTTGTTTGGTTTTTTTTGTTTGGTTTTTTTTGTTTGGTGTTTTTTGTTTGGTGTTTTTTGTTTGGTGTTTTTTGTTTGGTGTTTTTTGTTTGGTGTTTTTTGTTTGGTGTTTTTTGTTTGGTGTTTTTTGTTTGGTGTTTTTTGTTTGGTGTTTTTTGTTTGGTGTTTTTTGTTTGGTGTTTTTTGTTTGGTGTTTTTTGTTTGGTGTTTTTTTTTTTGTTTTTTTTTTTTTGTTTTTGTTTTTTTTTTCCCCATTATGGCCAGCTTTAGAAATGTAAGTAAAACATGCATAGCACTGTGAGCCGTTATCACTGAAGGCTCTTGAAGAGTGGGAATGTGAATCTGGGAGGCTTCCAGTTTGGAGGATGAAAGTGTGTATAGAAATGTCACAATCCTCTGAGAAGTGCATGGCATGTAGGTGCGTTTTTGAAAGGGGTACAGGTAAGATTTGTGTACAATGTGAATTGGCTAAATGATTTTGTTTGGCCATCATCTTGGTATGCCTGGGTCACATATTGGCATAGCTTGATCTTGTTCATGGAAGACTGCTGCAACATCTAAAGCATTCACATTCACTGATGTGCCGTGTGCTCCTTCCCCTCAGTCTTTGCATCCTCCTGATTTTTTTTTTTTTTTTTCTCTTGATCATCCTTTTTTGGGCCACTTTTTATGCATGTAAATATCTATAGATTGTCTCTCTAAAGCTGGTCATACACTATACAATCTGATTGTACAACCAGGGGCGGACTGACCATTTGGAAACTCTGGCACTGCCCGGGGTCAGTAGAGGGCCCCATGAGATGCCCTTGGTACTTTTTTTTTTTTTTTTTTTTTCTCATAGGCTTTTTTGAATTTGGGCAAGGACACAGGGGCCCCATGATCCCCTATTGCCCGGGGCCCCATGAGTTGTCAGTCCACCCCTGTGTACAACATTCTTTCGATTTACCAAAACTGTGTGATGACCACCATTAATAACTTGTCTCCTGTCTGCAGGCCACCCCCTTACTCTGACCCTGTACTTCTCTCTCTCTACAGCGCTTCTTCCTATGCAGTGCCCGCCAGGTGTGCTTGGCGCAGAGTGTCACCATTCCTCCCGCCATGCAGTGGTTGTGCCATCCTCTGGGCCATCGCTTCTTTGTAGACGGGGACTGGAGTGTGCGGAGCTCCCCCCGGGATACCATGTACAGTACAGCTGGCAGTACAGGTACCTCTAGTGCATTTCCCATCAGCCTGATCTGTACAAATCATAGATGAGGGACATAATGTTTGTGGGTTCCAAGTAATCTAGCAAAAAAAAAAAAAATGCAGATTTTAACCACTTGAGTCCTGGAAGGTTTTACCGCCTTCATGGCCAGCGCTTTGCTACTTTAAATGGCAATTACATTTAATATCCATATTTATATAATATATATATTGTTTCCAAGTATAGACCTTTCTTATGGTGATATTTGATCACCACTGGGTTTGTATTTTTTGCACTATAAAACAAAAGGCAAAAAAAAAAAACCTAAAACAATTTTGAAAACTATTTTCTACTCTGTTATAAACCTCCAATAAAATTCTATTCCTTAATAAATGTAGGCCACAATGTATTCTGCTACATGTCTGGGGAAAAAAAAAACAACTCCAATAAGTGTAGATTGGTTTGCGTTTGTTATAGTAAGGCTGTCAGTACTTACATACAATCTTTTTCTTGAGGCCCTTAAAATACCAGGATGGTACAAATGGCCCCTTTTTGTGTGTGTGTGTGTGTGTGTGTGTGTGTGTGTGTGTGTGTAATATATTCTATTATTTACCCTTTTTACAATGAAGAACCCTATATAAGCAATAGCTTTAGCTGTCATGAATGGGTTTCCCATTCATGGACTGCGTGCTTTTGATTGTGATCTGTGATTTGGCTAAGCTAATCACACATGCTACAGGTATCCAGGTACCATGTGATTGCTGTGAGCCGATCACAACAGTAAGCAAGCTGTTCATGCATGGAAAGCCATTAATGACAGGTTGTTTACATTGTTATCATGTGATCGCAGTGACCAGTCATAGCAATCACATGATGCCCTGTTACCAGTAACAGTGATCTGCAGGGGCGGACTGACCATTTGGAAACTCTGGCACTGCCTGAGGGCCCGGGGTCAGTAGGGGGCCCCATGAGATGGCCCTGGTACCTTTTTTCATAGGTTTTTTTAGTTTGGGCAAGGACACAGGGGCCCCATGATCCCCTATTGCCTGGGGGCCCCATGGGTTGTCAGTCCGCCCCTGGTGATCTGCTGTGTAGAGTGGGACACAGTGGTGACAGGTAGGGGCGTGTTGCAGGCTCCATCACGTGTGTATTAGTATATGACTGAGCCTTTAGGTGATGCCTTGCCGCAGTAAATCCAGTAGTATACAATGAAATCCCATAGTACTGTGCCGGGGTGGCAAGTGGTTTAAAATATATATAAAAATTTAAAAAATTGCCCTGGCAGGCAAGCGGTTTAAAGCTGACCTCCATCACTGACTGGGTTTTGTTTGTGCAGTGGACCCTCTGGCTCAGGTGACTCAGGCTTTCCGTGAACATCTCCTGGAAAAGGCTTTGTATTGCGTGGCGCAGCCAGAACAGGGAAAACCCATGACTGATGGGGAGGGGTAAGTCTTATTGTTTTGTATGAAAGTAAATGTTGACTTTTTCCAGCCTCCTAACTGCCAGTGTATGTCCAGCCAAAATGTTTTCAGTAGGCTAGAGTTTAAATCCATGTAAAAGAGAATATGAATATATAATATAATTTTTTTTTTTTGTGGTCTGTCCGGGTAGGAAGATTTTGCTTCCTGTCTCGGAGACAAAACAGGAAGTGAGAGGAAATTTCCATCTTTGACCATTGTTGTCCCTATTTGGAAGATTTCCCTTCACCTCCTTGCGGTCATGATCATTCCAAATTTTGGATTTCCTTCACTTTCTGCCTGGGTGACAATAGTCGAGGAGGGATCTCCCCAGTAGAAACAGAGGAAACTTGTCAGAGGGTTTAACACTTCCCTACTCTATCCAAAATAAGAGAAATGTATTTACACTTTTAGCACTCCATTCTCCACATTTTGCTTGGCTCCATGATGGCAAAAATTCAGCAACCTATAGCATCAAATCCTAATATCCTGGTAATGTTGGGTCACTGCAGTTTAAATTTCAGCGTTGCCCTTTTGCAAAGCTTTATTAAAGCCTAAGTGCAGCCAAAAATCAAAAAATCAGCACAAGGGATATCAATGAGCCAGGATGTGTTCCTTGTGCTGATTTTCTCTTCTGTGAGGGTTTTTTTTTTTTTTTTTTTTTTTTTTTTTTTTTTTCCTGTCCTGAGCCCAACCATGTCTACCCCTTTCCACCCAGGTCCTCCATTCATAGAATCCGTACTACAGCTTCTATGAATGAAGCGGGATCTCTAAATGGGAGGTGGACCTTTCATCTGCCTATCCTCCATATTTTTTAAGTCCTCTTCTCTATCATAAATGCTATAGCATAGTAGAGGAGGATTTCAACTAAAAGAATTGGAATCTGCACAAGTGATTAATCCTACAGGCTGTAAGTTGTGTCCCTTGTGCTGTTTATTTTGGTTGCACTTGGGCTTTAAATGTGGTATGGTTTTTTTTATCCTCCTCTGAGGAGTCCTTCCTAAAGTAGAAGATTGCATGGCTTTTTTTTTTTTTTTTTTCCTATACAGGGAGTTCTCCGACGCTCTAGAGTATCTACAGCTGCTGAATGGGTGCTCAGACAACGCTGCTGTGCCCAATCACACATTTTCTATCAGCTCCAGTATGACCGCCGTCACAGGTGAGCACCAGATCTCTTCTGGTACAAATGAGCAAAATTTACAGGTGAAATGTGATTTTCAATATTTTTCTGTGTCCTGTATATGTGCACAGTGACGGCACGCACGTATTTGCTTCCCACCTTCAAAACCGCCAATTGGTGCTCCATTGTTCCAACTTCTGAACATTGTTACAAACGCCAGAGTGACTGAAATCTAATGCTGGGGATCAAGAAAGTATAAATTTTGTGACGGTTATGTCCCTTCTGAAAGTGAGATTGTGTGCAGGTCCAGTCCTAGATGTCTTTGTGCCCTAGACCAGTGGTCTCCAAATTGCAGGCCGAATGTGGTCCTCTCTTTAGCCCAACCTTGGGGCACTATTTCTTCCACTGACACCAAAGATGGAGAACTATTCGTCCTACTTACACCACAGAGCACAATTCCTCCCAATGACACCAATGGTGGGGATTGTTTCCAGTAATACCAATGATGGGTAACTATGGGGCACTATTCCTTCCACTGACACCAACAATGGAGCTCATTCGTCTCATGAATACCAAAACCTCTTACTGCCCACAAGCATTGTCATTATTTTGCCTCCACTGACAACACATTCTGAGACATTTTCTACCCCCATTGGCCAGTCCTGCCTTCCTACAGTCTGAAGGACCGTTGCTTTGAACGTTTGGAGAACCCAGGACTAGACAATGATTTGGTCTTCTGTAGTTCAGCCCTCTTGGTATATGGGACAGTGACATCACAACCTGCTTCTTTATGTCCACTGCTCAATTAATAATGATGATTTTCCTTTACAGGAACTGACCCCGTGGCCAAGTGGTGGGCCTCTATCATAATCGTGGCTATCAACCGGCTTCAGGGAGATGATGAAGCAGCACAGCGTCTCTACCCAGTGGTAGAATACATGCCGAAATCTTTGCATGCCACAGAGTGAGTGATGGGGATTGTGGGTAATAGACCCAGCTTGGCTTTTGCTTTCTCCCCCCCCCCCCATGGTTTTTACTGTGCAGTCCAAATAGTACCGGAGTTGGACCAAGTGCATCCAAAAATTTAGACTTGAAAGTGGTTGTAAACCTCAGACAACCTTGAACAAAGCGCATCAATCTATAGTGTACCTGTCTCAATCCAGAGCACAAAGTGTCACTGTCTGCTGCCTTGTTCCTCTATCAGCATGAATCACTTCTGATGAGTTTTCCTGACACCAAGAGAAAAATGGTGACGGGAGGGACCTCCAGCAGACTGACAGCCTATGCTCTGTTCCTGTGTGCTGTGTGAAGGGGGGGTACAGAGTCTTTCCTACAATCTGCTCTCAGAACTCTCCTCACTGATGTAACTTCAGCTCCCCACCCTTTGATTTTCCAGAGTTGAGATCCTATGTAAATTACACACTCTGAATGTAGGGGAAAGATGGCTGCAGATAAAGTGGTACAACTTGTGTAGAAGGATTTTTTTTATCTCGATCACCTGAGGCAATTCACTTTTGTATAAGAGTGTCTTAGGGTTTAACAACCACTACAAAGCAGAACTGAAAGTATGTTTTAAAACTTATCAGCAGACAGACTGACTATTGCAGAAGAGACCTGCAATGTCTCTGGCAATACAATACACCTACCTGCCCGCTCAGTTTTTCTGTGACATGTAAATTGAGCTGCACGTGCGCAGCATAGATTACATCGCTGGTATGATCTGTGCCAGGATGATGCTTCATCCCAAGCCTGTGCAGATACCTGAGCACCAGAGAGCTGGGGAGAAGGTGCTGGTGAGGGGCCCCTTGGACAATTGGAGAGAAGGGAAGTACACAGCGTTTAGATCCTTTTTTTTTCTTTTTTCTTTACCAGACCCCCCCCCCCCCCCCCCTTCTTTTTTCTGGAATAAGTGTGAGGATATTTGTGAGCGGTGTGCTTGTTACCCACCTCTGCCAGCACTGCAGTGTAAGAGCAGAAAGTGGCATTTTCATTGAGATTTAGTGGTTGTAAAGGCTCAAGGTTTTTTCCTTAATGCATGAAGGTAAACAACCTTCTGTGTGTATAACCCACCCCCCCCCCCCCCCCTCCAATACTTACCTGGGCCCTATTGCAATCCACAATGCAATGTGCATGATAGCTTTGGCTCTCTGGGGACTCTCCCTCCTCATGGGCTGAGACAGGAGCCATTAGCTCCCACTGCTGTCACTCACAGCCAGTTAGCCAATGAGGACAGAAGGGTGGGGTGGGGCAGAGCAACAGCTGTCTGTGTGAATAGATGCAGAGTAGCGATTCAGGATCGAGCCTGCTCAGGTGCCCCTATAGCAAGCTGCTTGCTAAGGGGGCACTCTGCAGCAGGGAGGGGCCAGGAGCTCCAGTGGGGGACCCAAGAAGGATGAGGACTGCTCTGGGCAAGATTACTGCACAGAGCAGACAACTATGACTTGTGTAAAAATAAATGAATAACTAAATTGGTATCTAATAACATGCATGGATACATGACTATAAAAGGATAAAAAGTTTAAATAACTTTTTTTTTTTTTTTTTTTTTTTTTTTTTTTTCTTCTCCTCTTCCCTCCTTCCCCCCCCCCCCCCCCCCCAGAAACCCTCTACCTAAAGCTGCCCTGTATGCTTTCAAAGCAGTAAGGATGCTCCTGGGGAAGCAGGACAGCACTCAGGTCAGCCTGAGTCAATGTGACAAGGCCAGTGGATACCTGCGAGACAGCCTGAACTCCAGCCCTTCTAGTAATGCCAACATAGACAAGGTGAGGAGAGCTGTACAGAACAGATGAGTTTGGGGGGAGGGGGGGTTGCGTCTAGGTGGCATTGTTCTCGCCTCCCGCTGACACTGCTGTGGCTGTGGTGCATTGTAGTTGCATTGCATTTTCTATTCCCTGTGTGCAATGTGCCTGCAGTGCAATACAGAGGCAGCACCTAACCTGCGACATCTGGTGCTTATCCATTTGATGAGTAGCTCAGGTAAGATCTGATTGGACAAGAGAAATGCAGAAAAATGTGGACATTTGGCGTGTAAATTTTTTTTTTTTTTTTTCTGGTTTTTGCCTTCATTAGCATCGGAACCTCCAAATACAATAAATCTAGAATGCATACACTATGGAATCTTGAGCCAAAACTTTTCACATTTTTGAAAGCTGAGCCTGAACTCCAGTCCTCTTTTAAGTAGAGAGGGAAAGGATTAAAACCTGATCTTTTACTGTCTGAGCCGACTCCCCACCTTTCCCACGAGACTTGGCTTCAGAGCTTGTGCACGTTTGTCCTGCTGCTGCCCTCTGCACAGACCCAGAAAGCCAAGTTTTGCAGGAAAGGTGGTGACGGGACAAGTGTGCACAGGCCCTGAGGACTGGGTCTTTGGGAGAGGGAAGCAGTGAGACAAGTGTGCACAGGCCTTGGAGACCCACCACCTCCTTCTCCCAAAGAGCTGGGCTTCAAGGCCTGTGCACACTTGTCTCACTGCTTCCCCCTCCCAAAGACTCAGTCCTCAGGGCCTGTGCACACTTGTCCTGCTGCAGCCCTCTGCACAGACCCTAAAGCCAAATTCTTCAGCACACTTGTCCCATTGCTGCTTTTTTCCAAAAGACTTAGTTTTCAGGGCTTGTCACACTTGACCCACTGCTTCCCTCTTACAAAGACCTGGGCTTCAAGGCCTGTGCACGCCTGGGCTTCAGGGTCTGTGCAGAGGGCAGCAGCACGACAGGTGTGCTCAGGCTTTGAAGCCCACGTTTTTGCACACTTGTCCCACAAGACTTAAGTTATCAGGGCCTTTGCACACTTGACCCCCCCCCCCCTTCTCCCAAACAGACGAGCAAGTGTGCAAAAGCCCTGATAACTTAAGTCTTGTGGGACAAGTGTACTAAAGACATGGGACAAGTGTGCAAAATCCTGGGCTTCAAGGCCTGAATACACCTGTCGTGCTGCCCTCTGCAGACCCTGAAGCCCAGTTTTGCACAGGCCTTGAAGCCCAGGACTTTGTAAGAGGGAAGAAGAAGTGGGTCAAGTGTGCACAAGCCCTCAAAACATTTTGGGAAAAATCAGCAATGGGACAAGTGTGCTGAAGACTTCAGCTTTAGGGTCTATGCAGAGGGCTGCAGCAGGACAAGTGTGCACAGGCCTTGAAGCCCAGGACTTTAGTGAGGGGGGGGGGGGGGGCAATGGTGTGACAAGTGTGCACAGGTCCTCAATCTTGGACCTTCAGGAGAATGAAGTGGTGGCACAGATGGGCATGGGCCCTAAAACCCAGATCTTTGGGGAAAGGTAGCGATGAAACAAGCATGTAAAGACTCCAAAGATCAGGGTTTTAGGGTCCATGCCACCACTTCCTTCTCCTGTAGACCCAAGATTCAGGACCTGTGCACACTTGTCACACCATCCCCCCCCCCCCCCCCCCCACCAAAGTCCTGGACCTCAATGCCTGTGCACACTTGTCCTTCTGTAGCCCTCTGCACAGGCATTGAGGTCCAGGACTTTGGTGGGGGGGGAGATGGTGTGACAAGTGTGCACAAGTCCTGAATCTTGGCCAACTGCTAACCCTATAGCTGAAGTCTTCAGGACACTTGTCCCTTTATTGCCCTCCAAAAGACCTGGACTTTGGGGAAAGGTAGCGATGAGGCAAGTGTGTAAAGAGTCCAAAGCCCAGGTCTTTTGGGGAGGGCAGTAATGGGACACGCACATGCATAGGTCTTGGAGCTCGTTCTTTGGGATACGTTTCCCCAGCTTGAATCCCTGGGTCTTTGGGAGATTGGATGGAGGGCCAAGCTTGCCGTGTATAGCTTACAACTTTTTCTTGAGTTTGGATTTTGTTCCACAAAAAAATGGATTCTAGCGTTTGGCCGTATGACATTAAAAGGGATAATAGCTTTTCAGCTTCTTGAGGGACTATTCTAGTTGATTGTTCTCTGAATGCCATGAAGTGTATCATATGTGTGCACTAAATAGACCATGGTCTACGCCACAGCACAAGATGCAGTATAATCGAATTCCCTCGATCCAAGCTCACTTGTGGCAATTCTGCTTCTCTCCTCTGTTGTAGGCCGCCATTGGGAAGGGTCAAAGCAATTGTTGGCCATCCCTTTAACACACCAAACCATAAAGGGGCTCACTTACATTTTTCCATTTGCTGCTTACAGCCAATTTAAGCTTCAATAAAACAAAAAAGGCCGATTGGTTGTTGTAGGCAACCGTTCCACCTGCATAACGATGTCCATAAATCATAGTGCTGCGTTTTTTAATCACCAGAGTTGCAATCAGCAGTTCCTGAAAATATGGCTCACTGTACAAAATGGCCACCAGAGCTGTCACCAGGCAACAGATGTGATAATGATATATTGACATAGTTGGTCGCTGGGGAGAGATAATAGGAATATTGATTGGGATTCCGGGCATACATGATACGTTTTAGCTGTGCGCAGCCATTACAGCGGTGTAATTAATACAGCCAGCCTTGTTCTTAGCGCTGGCTGGCTCCCCACCTGCCACATCTGAATAATGGTCTCTCTGTCTCCCGCAGGCGGTGCAGCTCCTAATGTGTGACCTTCTCCTGGTGACCAGGACGAACATCTGGCAGCAGCAACAGCAGAATTCGGCGGGGCAACAGCCGAGCCTCATCCACCCGGCGTGCCCCCAGGAGCTCAGGGGCTTTCAGCTGGATCTGAGCAGCCTGCGAAGACTGGCACAATCCTTCCGACCCACCATGCGCAGGGTAAGTGTTCCGCTAACGTGACTTCTGTCTGCAATCATTGTAATAAAATGCTTAAAGCGGAACTTCACTGCATCTGGGCACCACAAATCAAAAACCAACATTTAATTCATTTTAATATTTAACACAAACTCCTCCATGCTTTTTTGTTGAGCAATCACTTTGAAAAACGCCCCCTAGCATTTCTCGCAGTGGCCATCTTAAGTAAGGGCAGATGTTTTCATGTAGCAATTTAATGCCTGGGATCAATCTACCCTTGGCTTGGGCATGCAGCAATTTAATGCCTGGAATCCGTCTACCCTTGGCTTGGGCATGCAGCAATTTAATGCCTGGAATCCATCTACCCTTGGCTTGGGCATGCAGACAGGAAGGTGTGCTTATCTGAGAAAACCCCTCCTGAAGACATCTGTGGTATGTATGACAGAATTTGCCTAGGTATAGAAACCAAGTAACTGAAGAAATGTGAAAAAAAAAAAAGTTTAAATAATATACGTTTTTATTTACTGATGCTAGCAGCATAAGGCTCCATGCACACTGGGCGTTGTTAACCACTTCAAGTCCCCCCCCTCCTGTCCTGGCCAATTTTTAGCTTCCAGCGCAATCACATTTTGGCAATTGCACAGTCATGCAACACTGTACCCATATGAATTTTTTAGCATTTTTGTGGTGACAGATGAAACTTTATTTTGGTGGTATTTATTCAACACTGGGATTTTTTTTTTTTTTTTTTTTTTTTTTTTTTTTTAACCAGAAATTTATTTTTCAAAATGTTAACATAGTCACCCTAGCAGTACAGTGTCACCATAGTGACACTGTACTAGTGGGGGGTGATAAAGGTTTTTTACACTGATTGCTTTTGCACCCATAAAGGATATAAAAGCAATCATTTCTCCTCTCTGGCTGCATTCCTGCAGCCATTGAAAAATACTGAGAGCTGTGATTGGTCACAGCTTGCCACATGGTACAAGGCTGTTAATAGCCCTGTACCATGTGACCTCTGTGATCATTCACAGATTTCACTAGTAGTAAGCAATGTCAGGAAGTGACATCTTGCTTCCTACTATTCATGTGATCACTGATTGGCCAAACAGTGATGACATGAATCGGGACCTCACACGGAGGTCCCATACAGCGATCCGTGTTCCGCTGTGTCCAGAGGACACAGCAGGCACCGCATTGCAGTGCCGCATGCTCCCAGGGAGCACGCACAGACTGTAAATGCGGTTGCCGTTTGTGAACGGCAACCCCCTCCTGCACTGCTCCTGTCTGGCCGATTTTATGTACATGGGCCGGACAGGGAAGTGGTTAATAACGCTGGTAATGTTGTATTTGTAAAGTCCAATTGGAAACGTGAGTTTTTAGTTTTTTTTTTTAGCAAAAAAAGTAAAAACATAGCTAAATGCTAAAGTTCAAAAACTCTGGTTTGCTGCGTTTTTCAGCATTAGAGCATATTTCTACAGCTAAACTCCTCTAGAAACCCACTAGTTCTGAGGGGGGGGGGGGGATTTTCCAGCCAAAAAACGCCCCTGCCAAAAAAAACCCACTGATTAGTCTGTGTATGGACACATAGGATAACATGCTGGGGTGTTTACTGTCTGTAGAAAAAAATGTCAAAAGCCAAAAACAGCCGCTGTAAAAATGTCCCGTGTGCATGAGGACTAAGGATTAAAATTGGTCAATGTTGTCAGTGAAGTTCCACTTTAAAGCGAATTTGACCAGAGAGCTGACACTTTGCCCTGGCATTCCAGTCACCTATCAGCACACTCAATTCTGGGTATGTGCCAGTGTTTCACCCCTTCCTGGTGATTGGGTGCATTAAGAACCAATCAGGCCTGCCTGGGATTAGACACCGGGATCCAGCAGGCAGCAATGGGCATAGGGGTGGTGAGTTGGGTGCAGGGGTGGGCTGACCATTTGGAAACTCGGGCACTGCCCGAGGGCCCAGGGTCAGTAGGGGGCCCCATGAGATGCCCTTGGTACCTTTTTCATAGGCTTTTTTGAGTTTGGGCAAGGACATGGGCCCCATGATCCCCTATTGCCCAGGGGCCCCATGAGTTGTCAGTCCACCCCTGGTTGGGTGCAAAGGGCTGTCCAGTTGGTGGCTGATTACTTTGCTCTGAATGGGCAGGGTGCCAGATCTTCTTTTAAAAAGTGTTTTTTAACACCCTAAATACCACTTCTTTTTTTCATATGACTTGTCCCATCACAGGACTTTCTTCACGAAGCCACAGCTCGACTCATGGCGGGGGCCAGCCCGACTCGAACGCATCAGTTGCTGGACCGGAGCCTGCGCAGAAGGGTACCTCCATATAGTAAAGAAGGTGGGTAGTCTGTAGGTAATCCTATAGCTCATGTTCTCTGTCCCTGGGCTGTTCTGTTTGTAGAGATCTGACTCCATGCCTTTTTATAAAGGAGCTGCCAGCAAACTCATCCTCTGGGCCCCCAAGGGCCCTACATTTAATTTTTGCAGAATTCTGAAACCAGCTTTAATGAAGATGCCCAGTAAAGCCTCGTACACACCAAGTACAGATCGCTGTAGTAACACAAGCAGTGTTAGAACACAATAGCGCAGCAGAGATCGCTGTACTGACAGGGCAGCCCCACCCCCGACCAGAACAAACCCGTCAGCGATCTCAGCCATTGGCTGAGAGTGCTGATCAGAAGCCAAACAGCAGACCTTTTTCGGTCATGTGCCTTTTGACAGAAGCCGAACCGGCTGTTCTGTACAAACAGGTCGAATGTCAGACCGTTTCTATTGAACTGGCTAATACTGCCTGATGTCTGACCCGTGTGTACTTTGCTTTAGCATGTTTACACCTCGGTCCCATCAAGCCCGCCTTTGAAATCGCATGACGTACAGTGAAGTCGCTTGGTTTCAGAGTCGGGGGACATGGTTATTTCAGGTGTGATTTGTAAGACCTCTGACACAGATGTCTATGCAAATCGCACCAAAAGTAGTGCATGTTCTACTTTAGAAATTGGTGCGACCAAGTCAGGACTGCATTGATATGACCGCTGCAATTGCGGACAATAGGGTGCGATTCTGCATACAATTTGCAAGTCGCACCCAATGTGACTGGGGTCTTAGAGTCAAAGTAAGTGTGAGTGTTTTTATAGGGGAGGTTAACTGCTCATTTTAGCTAGGAGAGAGAAGCAGTTTAACTTGCCTGATCCTCTGCTGCTCTGCCCCCCCCCCCCCCGATCTAGGAATGGACTGTTCCTATGTCTCATTCAGAGTAGGGCTAATGATGCTGCTCAGGTCTTGATGTCAGGACCGCTGGGGTGCAAACGCTGTGGGGAATAGTGTAGCTACCGGTAGGAGCAGAGAAGCGGGTAAGTAAATTTTCCTTTTATTCTTCCTCCGAGACCTAAATGACCCCACAGTAAGGGATAGAGGTTTGCCTGGAGTTGGGCTTTAACACTCCATATAGTTATTGGTGAACCTAAAGCAGATTGTGACTAGTGTGGCTAGTTTCAAAGCCCCATTTAAATCACAAATAGATCTGCAGTCAGACATTTGTACGAACAACCTCCATTTTCAGTCTGGCATCCTCTTATTATAGTAGTTGTGCAGGATTTCTAAGTATGACTGTGTAGTCCAGGGGGTACCAGTTAGACCCAGTGCTCTCAGTAACAGACCTAGTCAGCCATGCCTCCCTTCTTCCTCTGCAATAAGTCTGTGTGAGGATGCATATAATCAGAGGTGTGGCCAGGGGCAGACTGACAACTCATGGGGCCCCCGGGCAATAGGGGATCATGGGGCCCCTGTGTCCTTGCCCAAACTTAAAGCCTATGAAAAAAGGTACCAGGGGCATCTCACAGGGCCCCCTACTGACCCCGGCCCTCGGGCAATGCCCGAGTTTCCAAATGGTCAGTCCGCCCCTGGGTGTGGCTGTTGCTCAGCTATGCCAGTACAGAGCACTGCAGTGTGAGGGCTATTGGCAGAATTTTCACTCAGAGAAAAAGGTATTTGAAGGGTTTTTTTTTGTTTGGTTTTTTTTTTCTCAAAATAAAAATCAGAAATTTCAATGCATAGGGCTACAGAACTTCAAAGAGTGAGCTGTGGGACTTCAGTTGGGTTTTAAAGGGCTTTTTCAGGAAATCTGTCAGCAGAAATATGGTGACATGGCTTTGAGCTTTCTCAACAGTTGGGATGCTTGGCTGCAGTGCCACCTGCTGGTGAAATCTGGTATTTCAGCACAACCTGAAAACACAACTTGCACTATATTGCCAAAAGTATTGGCCCCGCCCTCCAAATTATGTGATTCAGGTGCTCCAATCATCTCCATGGACACAGTTGTATAAAAACAAGCACCTAGGCATGCAGACTGCTTCTACGTTTTGTGAAAGAATGGGTCGCTCTCAGGAGCTCAGTGACTCCAAGCGTGGTCCCGTGATAGGTGGCCATCTGGGCAATAAGTCCATCCGGGACATTTCCTGGCTACTAAATATTCCACGCTCAACTGTTAGTGGGATTATAACAAAGTGGAAGCAACTGGGAACAACAGGAACTCAGCCACCAAGTGGTAGGCCATGTCACATGACAGGGTGGGGTCAGCGCATGCTGAAGTGCACAGTGCGCAGAAGTCGCCAACTGTCTGCAGAGTCAATAGCTAAAGACCTCCAAACTTGGTGTGACCTTCAGATGAGCCCAACAGTGCGTAGAGAGCTTCATGGAATGGGTTTCCATGGCCGAGCAGCTGCATCCAAGCCTTACATCACCAAGTGCAATGCAAAGTGTCAGATGCCGTGGTGTAAAGCACGCAGCCACTGGACTCTAGAGCAGTGGAGACGTGTGTTCTCTGGAGTGATGAATTGTGCTTCTCTATCTCGCAATCTGACGGACGTGTCTGGGCACAATGCAGTCAGGAAAGTACCGTTCTCCTGGCAACCGCCAAACCCAGTGTTAAGTTTGGTGGAGAGGGGGATTATGGTGTGGGGTTGTTTTTCAGGGGCTGAGCTTGGCCCCCTAGTTCCAGTGAAGGGAACTCTTAAGGCGTCAGCATACTAAGACATTTTGGACAATTTCATGCTCCCAACTTTGTGGGAGGAGTTTGGGGATGGCCCCTTCCTGTTCCAACATGATTGCCCACCAGTGCACAAAGCAAGGTCCATAAAGACATGGAGGAGCCAGTTTGGGGTGGAGGAACTTGACTGTCCTGCACAGAGTCCTGACCTCAACCCCATAGAACACCTTTGGGATGAATTAGAGCGGAGACTGTGAGCCAGGCCTCCTCCCCCGACATCAGTGCCTGACCTGACAAATGTGCTTCTGGAAGAATGGTCCAACCTTCCCATAGACACCCTCCTAAACCTTGTGGACGGCCTTCCCAGAAGAGTTGAAGCTGTTATAGCTGCAAAGGGCGGGGCCAACTCAATATTAAACCCTACGGACTAAGACTGGGGGGGTCACTAAAGGTCATGTGCGTGGAAAGGGCGGGGCCAACTCCATATTGAACCCTACGGACTAAGACTGGGAGGCCATTAAAGGTCATGTGCGTCTAGAGCAGCAATGGGCAAACTACGGCCCGGCGGACCTTTTTTAATCCGGCCCGCGGAGCGTGATACATTGGCTGTCAGGATGTGTGTAGGCGGGGCAGCGTGACGAACGTGAGGGGAGCTAGGCTCCTCTCACAGTCCGCCCTGAAGACCGGAACAGCGCGGGAACACGGCGAGAGGAACGCGCGGAGCAAAGGTAAGTGAATTGACACAGGGGGGACTTGGCTTACTACTTGGGGGGGAATAGTACTATGGGGGATGAATTACTATAGGGGGGATGAATTACTATAGGGGGGATGAATTACTATATGGGGGATGAATTACTATGGGGGATTAATTACTATACTTACTATGGATGACACATACACATCATTCATCTACTCTTGGTCCGGGTCCAATATATGAACCCATTGCGGCCCTCAAGTCAAAAAGTTTGCCCACCCCTGATCTAGAGGCAGGCCGACCAATATTTTTGGCAATATAGTGAATGTTTTTGCTGTGCAAATAGGATGAGGTAGGTAGGCACTGTACCATGTTATTACATGAAGGGAGCCCCACTTTTTTTTTTTTTTTTTTTTTATTTTCTTCCCTTCTGCTTGTTTGTCTCAGACTGATAGACTGTATGGTAGGGCTGGTGTAGTCCCCAGTAGACTGGCTGTAGGTCAGCAGGCTTGGCATGGCACGGCGGTAGAATGATTGGATGTTTGCGCAGTCAATACTGAAGCTGCCTCTCTTTTATTCGCAGATATAGCACGGCTGGTCAGTTGCAGCGTGACACTTCCGACCCTGCCCTGTCAATAACAGTCACTGACGTTTTAAAGAGACCGCCTCTCTCCCCTTTGTTCTTGACACTTCATCTGCTGTCACCTCCTATCACCCACCCTGCCCCCTCTCGGTGCAGATAAACCTCTGTCTATGGGAGCAGCAACAGAGGTCTGCCCCAGTGCCACAAATTTACAGAGGCCATCTCAGGAAAAATGTTCCTCATCTATACTTGGCAGAGAAGATGGAAGTTGTGCTACCATTGTCTCAAGTCGGCACAGTAAAGACCCGTTTTCGGGAACACAGGGGGGAGTCCTTTTGGTCTTCTATGAATACGTGCACTAAGTTCTCCCTCTGGACTAGAATACAAGGCTTTTCTATCAGACCACGGAGGTGGCTTTTCTATCAGACCACGGAGGTGTGCTACGCAGAGGACACAGCAGTCACGCTATGGAATAATTGCAGCTATTCATAGAGATGTGTGTAGAATTGCATTGACTTGTACTTGCAGAGCCCTGATGTTGGGCGAGCGTTGGACTCTTGTTAGGCGATGCTTTGCTATACTGTAGGCCACACGCTGCTCTGGGCCACGGATAGTCCAAGATGGAACATACGCATACGCTTGTAAATATGTCAGCGTCTGTTTCTATTAAATTTTTAATTTAAGAACTGACTGCAGCTGCCTGTCTTCTGTACTAGTTCTTAGCCCAAGGACTGAATTTGACTGAAAGGAGAACTGTCAGGGTTGCTCATTGCAAACAGATTCCAGCTGTTATTACTATGGGATGGGTTTGAGAATGGAAGGAGAAACAACTGATTGCTTATTAGGGGTAACCCCTTACATACAGGGGTACAGTGATGGGGCCACTTCCTTGTAAGGTGGTGAAGGCTTGGCATGGATAGCGGTCCTATAAACGTTTTTAGAGCACAACATGGCCACTTCCAATAATTCAGTAGCCACTCACTAGGAAAATGTGATGGAAGATTGTGACTGAAAATTCCAATCCATGGTGATGCTGCCTGGCCACTTAGCCGGCTGTCACAAATACCATAAGTGTCAAACTGCATCCTTAGATCTGTCACTTTTTTTTTTTTTTGTGATAGTGGAGATGGATTAGAACACCTCTCAGGTTTTTATTGCCGTGTCTGTGCCCACATTGGGGGGGGGGGAGGATTGGGATTCACCCTCTATCCTCTGCTCAAAAGAAAATTCCACATTTTGGGTTGTTGTTGGGAATCCTCCATTGGGGACACTAGTTCTAGTGACCTGGTGCTTCCCAAGGGATTCCCTTACTTGCAGGGATTTCCTCTCACTTTCGGTTTGTCCTATGGGACAGGAAGTGAATATAATTCTCCCCAATGAGACACAGATGGCAAAAATAAAAATCTGACAGAGGTTATAGCTCTTCCTTACTCTATCCAAAGTTAAAATAAAAGTTTTCCTTTTAGAATTACAAGGATGAGTAATGTAGAACTTTAACACTAACCCTTCCTCTAATGTCCCACATGTACGAGGTGGTATCAGTTTCAAGACCTAGGTGGTTACAAAAAAATAAAAAAAATAAAAAAAAAAAAACCTAACAGATGGCAGCAAAAAGCTGCCCACACAATCACAGGCAACACCAACCTTCATAAGTCAGTGTGCCAAAAGAAATTGTCCTGTGTATATCGGGAGCTGTGCAACTGGTGCTATTCTAACCACTGGCATTACTGCTTCTGCTATATCGTCAAGTTAGAACAAAGAGCAAACCTGTAACTGGTCACACTGCTGGATCTCCGCAATGCTGTCAAAACCTTTTGAGCTGAATGTTCATCTTTGGGGGTTGAACTTGTTTGAAGGTCTTCCTGATCGCTCGTCTTCCTGTGATATTCTTCTGCTGTTTTTTAAGTGTGTGCGCGCTACTCAACGCCTCAAACAACGCCTCGCTGTAAACTTGCCGAATCATGTCAAACTGATCTGTGGCAGATTTGCCTGATTTCACGTTTGGCATTTCATTATAGACAGCAATTTAAAACAAAGAGCAAACGTGATAATGTACATGGTCAGAATACCAGCAGTTACACAGCTCCGGTTTACACAGGACAAGGTCTTTTGGCACACTGACTTATGAAGGTCAGTACTCCCTGTGACTGTGTGACCTTGTCACAAGTCCCAGGTGAGGCAGTAATCGTGTGTGTTGCTTGGAAATCTGTACAGGGTGGTTAGGCCCCTGGTGATTTTTACCTGGACAACTGGTATTGGGCAGCTGTGCCACAAACATTGCAGGTCTGGCGAGTGCTGAATCTGAGGGTGTTGGAATGCTATTCTAGTTATTTGGTAACCCAGGAGCGGCTGGACATCAAGCCATGTGAGTGTGGTGTTGGTATTTGAGTGATTATGGTACCTGTACACATTGACCTGGTTTTAGGTTACTACTTCTACACACTTCATACTACCAAATGATACACAATTGGTTGGGAATTAGACTGCTTTTCCATTAAGTACCAACTATTTTCAGAAAAATTAAATTGTTTTAAAGTGTATTATTTTTTTTTTTTTTTTTTTGTCCATTAGAACTTCTACTGTGGCTGGTAGTTATCAAACAAATCCCTTCTTTCACATTAAATGACATCCTTTGGTTCTATAGCTTCATAATGAACCCCAGTGAGGAGCCTTTGCTTAGGTTTGTATGGTAAACTTGAAGGGACAGTCTATTCAATTTTTATACCCATCAAGCCGGCCCCTTACACTAGTCAATGGTAGATCTTCAGCCTCGTTTCCACATGCATTGTTCTCTGAAGAAGTATCCATGCTCAGATTGCTCATCAGAGAGCAATTGACAGGCAGGGAGGAGGCACTGTCCTCCCTGTTTTAACCCGTGAAGGCTGGGCTATTCAAATAATGGACACAAGTTGTCTGCTAAAACGTCGAATTAGTGAAATGTGTTTATTCAATGAAATAAAGTAATTTTGATGTTTTAGTAGATGATTCATGCCCAGGGGTGGACTGACAACTCATGGGGCCCCTGTGCCCTTGCCCAAACTCAAAGGTACCAGGGGTATCTCATGGGGCCTTACTGACCCTGGGTCCTTGGGCAGTGCCTGAGTTTCCAAATGGTCAGTCCACCCCTGTTCATGCCTATCCTCTGAATAAGCACAGCAGGTGCCTCTGTCCATCGAACTACCGATGTTGTTTGTTTGCTTTTTTTTGTGTTCTTTACCAATTCGTTCACCCACCTGAGAACCTCATGGATCACCCAGGATGGGAATGCCTCAGGTATAGTGACAACACTCTCCCCGTGTGGGTTTTCTCCACCTGTGTACCAGGAAGGCCATGTTCATACAACACCTTCCCCCCAGTATGTTGTCCTCTGGCTACTGCCTTTGTAGCTAAAGGGGGAGTTTGAGGGGATGGAACAAATCATTTTTAATTTTTCCACCCCCCCCCCCCCTCCCATTCTTTACAACAACGGTCCAGGTTGCTTTGGGTAATAAGATTCTTCCTCTAGATACTTTCTAATAAATAAGGCTGAATGTTCTGATTCTGATCCTGGAGCAGTAGCTGACTTGTTAGCCTCTTTGTTCCCATCAGGCACCCGAGAAGCTGCGCCAACCACGCGGGAGCATGCTGAAGCCCTCCTCCTTGCGTGCCGCTACCTGCCTCCATCATTCCTGTCTGCCCCAGGGCAGAGGGTGGGTATGCTGGCCGAAGCGGCCCGGACTCTAGAGAAGCTCGGTGACAAACGCGCCCTGCAGGACTGTCAGCAGTTCATCCTGACTCTGGGCAGCAGCACGGCTGTGACCTCCAGCTAGGAAGACTTCACCTCCCGCCAAATTGATCTTTTGCAAAACACATCTTCTCAGTATTCCATTCTACAGACTATGCAGAAATCAAAACATGAAGAGGTGGCTATGAATTAAATGGCTGTGATAGTCCACAGCTAGCATTTCAAAGTGTACCTGTTCCCTAGACAAATTGTGAGTGGCCATTTTTTTTTTATTGATGGGAACCAGTGTCATGAGGTGGAAGCCTAACGCCCTTCATCTTCCTGAGTGAGGAACAAGCCTGGACAGGGTGGAAAGTCAATACAAACGGGCATGTCTAGGCCACAGCTTCACCAAAAACAAACAGTATAATTATAAATAACACAGCTTCAATATATAAAGTATTTTTACATAATTTACCTGCCCATTGCTGTGTAAAGGGGAGGAAGGTTCAAAAACGATTGTAAATGTGAAGGAGGCCTTACAGTCGGCCTCTTCTGTGAGTAAGGACAGGGCTTGGAAACTGGACGAATCTGGTTGCTATGGGCAACTGATGCTTTTCCAACCAAACATACCTGAAAGATGAGGCCTAGTGGTGCAGACCATTCTTGGGCACAACCCAAATTCAGGTCAACACGCAAAATTCAGCTTTTAGCTGGGTTGAAGGGTCAAATTATAGATCTGAGTGAAAAATAACCTGGGGCTTTGGACTTGACTCTGCAATGGATCTAGGGTGAAGCAGGGTCATACAAGGTGCAAATGGCTCTGGTGAGGTTGCTCTCTGAACTAGGAGACTTAGGGTTTGGAATCCACATGTCCAATGAGAGCACCAGACTAAAAAACGGAGTGCAAAATCTTTTGACAAAGGTGTTCATTAACAAAAAGACAATATAATGCTTCCAACACGTTTTAAAGGTATACTGATCACTTCTTTGGGGTGCAAATGTACAGTATATCCACTTGAGCTCTGGAAGATTTTACCCCCTTCATGACCAGGCCCTTTTTTGCTATTCAACACTGTGGTACTTTAAGAGACCATTGCATGCTCATGCAACACTGTACCCAATGTATATTTATATCATTTTTTTTACACAAATGGAGCTTCCTTTTGGTGGTATTTGATCACCACTGGGTATTTTTTTTTTCATTTTTTTTATTATAGAAAAGAAAAAAAGACTGAACATTTTGAAAAAAAAAACTATATATTTTTTTACTTTCTGCTATAAAAACATATTCATAAAAAAAAAATCATTTTTTTTTTTCCATAAATTTAGGCCAAAATGTATTCTGCTACA